AACCCTTCCGACCATCCCAACCCACGGACCAAACCAAATGGACCAACCCACGAACCAACCCGCCAACCAACGCGCCAACCAACCGACCGACCGGGTGGCAGCAGCCAACTCAACAGGACAAATCGGTCACACCCCTTTCTCCCCGCCTTGAGCAAATCGACCTCGTTGTTTTCCATTTGTCCAGCCAAGTCCTTGATGGCCTCATCTGCTTGAGCTTGGAGCGATTCAGGCGCACGAGGCGGGAGATCTGTCAGAGGCTGGCGATCCTGCAGGCGCAGCATCTAGTAGTTATATACATATACACTTTAGTGACCCTGCAGGCTTGAACCTCAACACTCGCGCGCTTGGTCCTGAAAAACAAACCCTATAGGTGTATAGCGCGGGCAGACCAAGACGCACAGCAGATCGCCAAACTGGTTCTTTAGAGGAAGTGGGTGGGGAACATTCACTCATGCGTGCGCGCACGCGCGCAGAGCCGCCTTGTGTGTCCCCTTGACCTCCTTGTTGGGCGCCGGCGCGTCGCTCTGGCTTGCCAGGATGCTATCCTGGGAAAGGACCTCCACTGGCTGTTCCGGTGGCAAGCTTGTTGGCGATGCCTCCTTTGTCTGCGGCAGCTGTGGCTGCTTTGGCTGATTGGTTGCTTTGTCAGCAGTTGGCGTTTCCCTCGGCTCCGTGTGTGGCGGGCAGGCATCCCCCTCGCACTGTGTGTCAGCTGCACACTCCTCCACTTTGGGGTAGATGTGCGGCTGCAAGGCCTCAAACTCCTCATGTGAGAGGACTGGCTCAACAACCTCATCGTCGGTGGGCCCTTCTTCCTCGGCTGCCTCGCCTGCCTCGCCAGCCTCGCTGCTAGGCGAGGGCTGTTCTGCCATGATCTGGTCCTCTGTGTCCTCCCTTTGCGTTGCCTCGGTCATTTGTGTGTCTTCCTCCAGGCCAGTTGTGGACTTTCCTCTGTTGAGCGTGCTGCTGGACTGAACGTTGCTCCCTTCCCCTTGGTCGGCCTTGCAGGCTGGACTGGAAAAGGTGACAATTGCACTGTGTAGAAATATGACGCCCATCAACTTGGCAGCTTCACATGTCAACAAGTACGGCACACTAGACATTGCATAGCGGTTCTTTTTGACAGAAAACCTCAGGTTTCTCCGGGTGGCCCTGAATGTTCTAGACAGAGGGGGCAAACTGATATGCATGAGTCAATGGCCTCACCAGCAGCTTTCTTCGGCGCCGTCGATCTCCCCTTTGTCGGAATCTTCCAATGAGCAGGCCATGCTCCTGGCATCAGTCACATTGGGAAGTGCTTGGGGAAAACCCTGCCACATGTAAGCTAACCGCGTTTTCTCCCTGGATTGACAAAATGGGCGGGTGACTTACTAGCAAGGGCACGGGAAGGGGGAAAGGGGGAATTCCGCAGCTGCGTGGAAACAAAGATCTAGCATCAGCGCCCTAAAAAATGTTTGGCTCGCTTCGCACCGACTGCTCTGTTCCGTGCATTGGTTGCGCGTTAAGAACACGCTAACATTTGAATGCAAACGTTCGACAAGTGACTCGCTTAGGCTGCAGCACATTTATACGGTTAACCATGACCGATCAGCTCATGGACCACAAAGGACCGAATAATGCGCCGCACCAGTGAGCGTTTGGTTCCTGGCATGGATCCCGGTTGGCAGCAAACAGAAACACCGTTTCACGCTCGCATCAATCGGGCCATGTACATATTAGCAATCTGACGTCGCCCCTTGCAAAGGCAGGAAATGGGTCAACATGCTTGCACCAAAAAACTGCAAGCGCTGTTTCTGACTCACATCAGCCGAGCGATTTGCAAACAAGGGCGCCAACCACCACGCGCGCTTCGTTTGAGCCACGGTGCGCGCATGCTAGCTGCACAACGCCCACTCGCCTCCAACTTCCACTTCACCACGGACTTCAAGGTGTCCATTTTCGAGTGTCCGCTCCTGCGGCGGCAATGATACAACTACACACGCGTGTTCAGGCCCTCAATTCAACATATTTCCGGCCAAGCCATTTAAAAAAAAAAAAGATTGGTCACAAGGACACACCCCGCCTCACTCTTGACGTTCGCTGAAACCGGTTGCAAACGTATGATGCCAGGCTTCTGTGGAGCCCAGCTTCCACTTCCGCCCAGCTCTGGCAGGGAGTGGCAAACATGCAACGCTCAAACTCCATCAAGCGACAAGTGACAATAAACTGGCGCGTCTTAGCACAAGATGGCACGAGCCTCGTGCTGCTGCTTGCTAGAAAAATGAGGGTTCAGCGAGAATTCCATAGAAGCCCAGCGTAAAGTGTCCTGGGTGCAGCAATCATATGAGCTAGCTGGCGGGCTCGGCAAATCAAGCTAGTTAAGCGCCCATCAACATTTGATGCACTCTTGCACGCTGACTGCGTGCGTGCCCCATCCTGCACCTCCAACTGTGGAGGCAAGTCCCCGCAAAATGAGGCCAGGTAGGCCAGGGCAAAATGATAGTTCACATCCCGCTCCACCTGGCGCGAGCGCGCGCGCAATGTATTTATTGTTTCGATGAGTTCACAAGACGCTGTTGCTATACATCCTGATCGATTTAACACACTACTTTGGCTAATTGACTCCAGCAGCACGCTGCCAGGCCTCCGCTTCAGTCACTTGACCTCGCCGGAGATCAACAAAGCTGAAGACCTGCAGGCACGGCTGGTTGGGCGTGCACATGGCTAGTATGAAACGTTGCAGGGCCCCCGGTAGAAAACAACCTTGTTCGGGTAGGTCCCCTGACCCAAACAATCAGACAATACAATTTTACTGGTCAGGTCCTGGTTGACCCCTGGTAGGCCAAATGTGAAACCCTCAAGACCTCAGGACTTCTCATGACATATCGCATGCGGTGATGAGCCGCAAAACCAAAAGCATGTTCGCCGGCCTTACTTGTGGATCCACGTTGTTCCTTCAGTTCTTTGCGCCGCTTCATGATGAACTTGGCATCGCACTGGTCCGTGTAGAAGGCCTATTCAACCGCACAGTCAGGTCCAAAACTGAAAGCACGGTACGCACACATGGCAACTAAATTTTAGTCAAATCAAAGTGCAAGTGAATCGCAGTGACACGATCGGTCCCGCAGCAAGTCCACCCGCGAGGTGTCCATCCTGGATCTCCGGTAGTCCGGCATGCACGTCCGCCGGATCGAGTGAAAAGCGCGGAGCAAACAGGGCTCACGTGAACTGAGCTTTTTGAGCCACACCTTCCAGAAAATCATGCAACCAGCAACGCTATGAAAGCGGATGTCGGAGGACCCTTTGAATTGACACAACACATCGAGGATCTGGGAGGGAGGCGCACCTTGATCTTGCTGGCCCCCATCTTCGTCATCGCGTGTTGCAGGGAAATACTCATCTAATTCTTGGTGCCCTGGCACAACAAATTCCAAGTTGATTGATGCAAGTGCGCCATGTTTGCATACAAACGTCATAGCCCCGGCCTTTAGCCAAAGCTCGCCTCATGCGAGGATCGCCTCAATAGTTCCGCCGTTCCACCTAGGTGGAGCTGATTGACCAATACGAATCTCCGCATGCTACACATATTATTCCTATCCACTGCGTGCCACGCAGCAATCACAGATTAAGCGAAGGCTGGCCATCCAATCAAGAAGCGCCGGCCATTGGCTTCACTGATCGCAAAGTATCCGAAGTACCATTTTGTTCTGCATGTGTGTGTATGGTTCTGAGTCACGATGCTGTGACCACAGTTGATTGATTGTGAAGTGAATGTGTGTGTGCGTGTGCGTGGTGTGGGTTCCAGGAGGTGCACCCTGCTGACAAAGTAAATGCGCCTCTTTGTGGGATTCTACACCCGGTCATGCATTAGACAAATGGCATGGCAAATCATTCATAGATAGTGGACAGGACATTTCTGGGGGTATATGCAGGAGATCTAGATCACATTGTCGCATGGGTATGTCAACCAACGTTCGATCCACGAGTCAGAATGCGTTGGTGCTGCAAATGATGTCGTCTCGGTGCGCATGGAGCTTGCCTGCCAAAGTTCGGTCGATGAGCCTAAATGTAGTTTTTGTACAAAGACGGTACTTTGTTTGGTCGATGACTTCTTGGGCAGTGTGACCGTACAAGCGGGGGAAAAGGGGAAAATTCATTCGCAGAGCGCAAGCGCCACTGCGAATGGAACTCTGTGGGTTCTTCAAGCCTCTTTTCGGGAAGACCGTTTTAGGTCTCTCCGATCCTTACAATATTGTGACTTGTTGGTGGATATGCTCAGCAGCCCTTCGGACTATCGCCTTCCCGAAGATTCGGGTGTGGACACCTCAAAATGGCGGATCTTCCTTTGCCACAAACCGCCTTTGCCTCGAATGTTTGTGCACCCATCCCCCCGAACTCTTTCAGAATTTGGCGGGCGAGATCGCGCCAGGCCTGAAAACTGCGAATTGCATGGGCTGCGCAGATCTTGAAACCCTGTTCTCCGGTTGTGGGTTGCCTGGCAGACCAAACATAAACACATACAGACGAGAATTACCCTCTCACCAATCAATGTGGAACCTGACAGGGGGTCCCTTTGCAAGGACAATGGTCTTCAAGGATTTTTTTGAGAGGTTCCATGTTAATCGGAGGCTAAAAGAGCTGGAAGTTTATCATTTGCAACAGGGATAGGGCATCCGAATTGGGTTCTTGTATGGTGTGTGTGCAAGAGTGAGGTGGTAAGATAGGATTGAAAAGGTTTGGTTTGGGATGTGTGAGGGTTTATATGGGATTATATGGGATTGTATGGGGTTGTATGGGTGTATATGGGTTTGTAGGGTTTATATAGGGGGTTATACATTGCAGTGTGTAGGTTTTATGTAGGGTTCGCAAGAGTTTAGGAACTTCTCTTGAGGCTCCGGGGTCGCACTATAACCCTGAAACCAGTAGAATCCCTCCCACCTCGCCACCAAAGAAAAAGACGAGAGGCCACCCGAACCGGTTTTTTTTTCCGCCGCCCGCCGAGCCGGCGCCGAGCTTTCGAGGCCCAGAACGCCTTCGCGCTGGTGCTGCGGAACTTGATCCGCTTTGGCGGCCTGGCGATGCTGGGCGCCCTGCTGTCCTTCATAGGCGGGGAACGAAGCGCGGGGACGCGGAAGCGCGGAAGGGGGGGGGGAAGGGGGGGGGGGGGGAAGGGGGACCCGGGTCCCGGTGATTCCGGGTTCCCCGGGCGGTTTTTCTGCTTTGGTTTTTGGGGGATGGGAAAAAAGGAGATTGCAGGGGCAAGGAGAAATGGAAGGACCCCAAGAACCATCCCCTGGTGGACCAAAGCCTGGCGCGGGCCATTCGTAAACAGGGCATAGATGGGGCCTTTACAGGGGCTGCCCTCTACACTGAGAAACTTATTGTATTTTTTGGTTAAACTCTGGCATTGAACATTTGGATGGGATTCCCACTCTGAAAATCGGGATCAGGATGTGGCTTTTTTTGTGGATCCAGCCCTGGAGATTTAAAGGGTACTCAAAGATTACTACAACAGGGCCAGGGAGAAGTGGCTGACAGACTTGGAATAGACCTCTGGAGACTTTTCAACTCACTCTCGGGGTACATGATTGGATTTTGGAAAGAAGAAGGGGGGGAATCCACAAGCGCCTCTCCAAGCTGTTTTCTAGAAGCCCGGCGCTGGCCTCGTGACAAAAACCCCTTGCCGGTGGCGCTGCTGCTCTGCTCACCCATTGGTGAAATTTGAGGGGGGAAGCAGCCGCCCACTCCCCACCATTTCGCTGCAAGCAGGTTTTTCTTGGTGGGTGGGTTGTCCCTTGGTTGGCCAGAAAACCAGGGAAGTGGATCCACTGACAAGGATAAGGCCTCTTGACCCCAGGTGCTGAAGTCCGAGTCGCGGGCATAGGCCAGGCAAGCACACGCTGGCGTTCCAGCTTCCGGGGGTCCTACACAAATGGCTTACGGTGCACGCCAGATTTGGGCCAGGGTGTGGCCTTTCGGAGTCCAAAGCGCCTTGGATCTTGAAGTCACCGAAGCGGCTCCCTTTTGTGAGGCTGTTGGATGCATCCCCGGACCCCACCGCTGGAAGGTTCCGAAAAGAGAGCGTATGTCCTAGGTCATGTTAAGCATTGCCATCAACCTCTCAACCAGGGTTTAGACAGATGCACGGGTTCGTAAGAAAGCCCTTCAACTTGTTTTGGGTTTGGCCCATGTAGGAGTTGTTTGGCTGACCTCTATGGCTGAAGTAACTCGCAGTCTCCAGCGGTTGTACCCTGGCAGTGGGATTCCTGGGCCAGCGCTCCTAGTTTGGGACGCGCAGGGTTCCACTTTCAGACTACCCCAAGATAGACTTAAACCAGGGGTTCTCCTTTTGGGAGTGAGCCGATTTCCGGGTTTAAGTCTACCCTGTCGTCAAAAACGTGGAACCCTGAGACAGAGAGAGAGAGAGAGAGAGAGAGAGAGTCCGACCCGACCCTGCAGTTTTTCCCCCCCCCCCCCCCGCGTCCGCAGGCGTGGTGTTTATGTGCAGTGCCACGGGCTTGAGTGGGTACTTCATCTTTCAAGCCTTCTACCCTGAGCTCAGCGTTTGCCTCAGAGGGTATCGGCTGCATGGGGATGTTTCTTCTTTTTTTTGGTTTTGAATGGGAACCCTTTGGACATATTATATGTGGACATCATGTAGGTGCGAACGTTGACCCCAAAAAATCATCAACCAACCAGCTTGTTAGCCTGTTCATAGGGGTGTCCCCGCCAAAAGTGGTCTGATTCCCCACTAAGCCTGGGGATGTTCAGAGGGTATCGGCTGCATGGGGACGTTTTTGCTTGCTAATTGGGAACCCTTTGGTGGACATGATTTAGGTGCTGATTTCTGTCCACCAACCCCACTTTTCAGGGGTTCCCTACTGAGCGTCATGGCTTTTTGAAGCCAGCTTGTTTCAACATGTGTAAGAGTATCAGGTTGAACCAACCTCCTTGTGGTTCCCCGCGCAAGCAAAACACTGGGCTGGTTGTCTAACCCGATTTGGTCCCCTCTCATTGGGGCAGGCGGGAAGGTCAGGAGAGCCTTTCAGCTCTCAGTTTGTCAAGGAGTTGCTTGAAGTCCAAAGCCTTTCAATGAAGGGTCCATGAGGGCAAGTCTTGAGGTACGTACGAGCCATTCGCCAGAGATATTTCTTACCGCCCTTGGGCGCGATTTTGTTCTGCCCAGCTTGGCTCACAAACCTTGTGTTTCCAGGTCTTTGGGGCAGTAGGTCATCACTCAAGGCGCAGCGTCGTCGCTGAAGCAGAGTGCAAGACACCCGCGCCCTGCGGCGTCAGGTCCCATTGTGCCCACCATTCTGTACGTTGTCATCGGCTACATCATCGGCCGCGCCTTTCTGAACCTTTGTTGTGTATAGTGGCGCCTTTTTTCCCCCTGTGGTTGCCCTGTCCGAAACAATCAACAAACATGGCAAGAAGTTGCTTGTTCATCACCTGTTGGTGTGGACTTGTACAGTTGATTTTTTCCATATCCGACAAAAGGACGGTAACTCATGTTGTGCCTTTTTGTTGGTGGGTGACTCCCTTCAAAGCACATGTTCCAACCAAAACACCTTCCAAGAAAAGCTGCTTTCCCTTCCGCCCCAAGAAAAACACGCTGCGAATGCTGACGTCAGGAATGTGTTTAGCTTGGCCTGCGACACGTCCATGCAGTGCTTCATCATCTCCGAGGAGTGCTGATCTTTGTTAAAATCGGGTACGCCCAGGGGACCCTATTCAGAGGACCCCCCAAAGAACTGAAAACAAACTTGTTCTGAACCACCCGCGTCTAGGACGGTCCTTCAAGGGGAGACAAATCCGAAGTGAATATGGCAAGAATATCTGCCTATTCCATAGCGAGCTCACCGATTCGGGCTTAAAACGAGCACACCATGATCAAGGTCCTTTTACTTGGAAATCCCTGAAATCAGTTTTTGCATTCTCGTATACAATTTGCAGAAAGATGCCCCCCCCCTGCTCAGTGTTCGCAATGGGGATGGATATTTGCCGAAACATGCCCTCCCCCGGAGAAATTGGGCAGCCCTCCCTAAAGCAAACGGCTTTGCCGTCGCCAAGCCACGGAGGCGAGCATGCGGTACCTCGAAGGCAGCGTTTTTTTTCTTCTTCTAGTATTGCCGGTTGGTTTTTTAGTTGTTCAATGGGACCTAGGTCCAGCAATTGGTGCCCTTTCTCTCCCGTTACTTTTTTGGTTGGGAGATTCGGTTCCCCTACTAAAATATAGAGGGTGTAACGCTGTGGAGGCCCCTGTTTTTGTCCAGTGTTTTTGCTTGTTTTTATAGGTTGTTATCTGAATTTGAGAGACCTTCTGAAGATATACTACAGGAAACAGTTGGTACCCTTATTCTCCTCCCCTCTGGAGGACCTAGGAACTGAGAGGCTTTAAGACGGTCCTCTTGAAAAATGCGGGGTACCGCTGTTGAGTGTTTGCAGAGGGTAGCGGGATGTCGGGTTGAACGGTTGAACGATCAAGCTCACCCATCCTCGGAAGTGGTTTGGATATTTTTCTCGAGGTCCCGCACGAGCTTGCCGAGTACTCCGGTGCCCAAAGTGAATCCACCTTTTGATCTTTTGCATTTCCCGTCCATTTTTGCTAGAGGTGCCAAAGGGCTAACCTTGTATTTCTGGGCCCCTATGGGGGCAACTGAGAGTCAGATATGAGGCCTCTCACGAGATTTTTACAGGGGAGACTCGTGGCGGTTCCTTGCGCGGTCCATGTCTTCGTTCTGGGTCTGTGAATTAGTCGGTTTTTTTCCATAGATCCCAGGATTTGCTTCCCCGTTCCATGGCCCATGTTCCCAGGTTGACCAAATGTATGTTTGAAGGGGAGTAGTTATCTGAAGAGGATCTCACTCCTCAAGTTCTTGGAGATGAACAACTTTTTGGGAAGAGCATTTTAGTGGTAAACAAGCAGTTTGGGCTTCTTGGCCATCTCAGGAAGTGAAGAACGGGAAGGTACGAGAATAGATCAGGATTCCCAGTTTGGCGCAGAAATTCGCAGGAGATGTCCCACCGTGGGGACTTCGTGCCTTCAGCTTTGCAGTCCCTGATCGTGGAGCAGGACCTCAACAGACATCCGGCAATGGAATTGAGTTCCCGAGTTCATCCCCCCGAGTGGTAAACAAGCAGTTTATACTTTTCTGTCCAACGCTCTCAGCTCTCAGTGACTAGAGACCAAGCGGCCAGCCAACCTTTTGACCGGGGTGCTAGTGGGAAGGATTCCTCAAACCGGGTGACCGTCGCAGTATTTGTGCCATTTAGGCGAGAGCCTTCATGTGGGGTTGACCACCAGGAATTTGCAATAACTCGTCAATCTGCCAGAATAATTCGGAGGGCCATGCTAGGCAGGGGTGTGAAGTCTCTTTTTAGCGAGGATTTGATCTACTAGGTGGGATTCCTCCAACTGGGAGTTTTGACCATAGCACAGATGTTGGAAAAAACAAAGATGGTTCGCCGTCCCAGTCATGAACATTGCTGGCTTGCCTCAGTTCAAAGTCAATCCCATGGTTTCATAATCCTTGGTGGTTCCCAGCCATTCCCACTAGAAGTTTGCCAGTTTGCCAAACGGGCACACCGAGGCGGGCAAAGCAAGTCCTGCTGCTGAGCCTTCGGCCATGTTGGAGCCATGTTGGAGCCAGGGACTCCAGAAAAAAGTGGGTCTGTGTGGTGCTTTGTGTTTGAGGATGCAATCTTTGGTCAGCTTGGTTTGAAGGGAAATCCAAGGACAACCACCGCTTGGTGGCTCCCAGCCATCCGGTTCCTTAGCTTTTGGGGTGTAGCGGTTGGGTTTCGGAATCTAACCCACTAAAAAATAATATGTTAGCATGGGATGTGAAAACGGACAGCCCACACCATGTTTGACGCAATTGCCGGCTCTTGGCGTGCCGCTCCGCCCTCTTCCTCCCTGGGCGGCCGAGAATCGGCGTAGACGCCCTGCATGCGCAACGAATGGCGCAACAAGTGAATTCGAGCCCGAAATGGCTCGGGCGAATTGGATGCCCGTGCGCCTTGTCCAACACATTTGATGTCATGGGCAAAATGGGGGGCTACGCAAATATATATGGATGCAGCCCCAAAACCCAAGGCACGCATTTGAACTTTTTGCGGGAGGGTCGGGGGACGGGTTCGATCCTATGATGAAGCCATGTCCCGCAACTCCGTCATTCGGCCTGGCCGAGCTTTGGGTTTCTTTCACAACCCGCAAGTCGTTGGTGAATCAGGGCTCGCCTTGAGGCTCTTAACGAAACTGGTCTTTGGTGGGAGTGTCCTCCTGTCAGTTTTTTTTTTTTTAGGAAAGGGGGGCACATGGGGGCACAAGAGGAACGGTTGGCCCCGAAATGGATCTTTTGGGCATTTCGATTTGGAATGTAACGATCACTGGGCTTTCAAATGTGGACGAGGAGACTTGCATCCCCATGCGATGCTAAGATGTAAATCGCTGTACAGAGTGCGAAGTGCGACGTATGTCATTTAAATGGCCGGCAGCTTGGTTCCGCAAACGATGTATGTCACAACTAGGACGTGTTCTTCGGATCTCGGAGGGGCATTTAATTTTCAGAGTCGAATACCAGCTCACAGTAAGTTTGCTGTGTCTTCTTGCCTCTAACTGCTGGAGAGCGGCAAAAGATTAGTGATTGGCGGGTTGGCGCATGGAATCGCATGCATATCCACACGTAATTTCAACATAGAGCTGCTCGTAGGCAACGCCAGAGTCAAGTTCAAAGATGAGAAATACAAATATGGAAGCCCGGTGAACCCTCCTTCCAAATTGGGGCAGCATTTGTATGGCAAGATCCACTTGCCGCGGCGGCCTACCTTTGGACCCCCCCCCCCCCGAAGCAGTTGGTGTTTGGCGTCAGTGTGCCGTTCGTGCCGTTCGCCCACAAACGGCAAGGTAACCCACTCTTGGGAGCGTGTCAAGACTCACAGCCTCTCCACATGATTGGTGGCTAACTCCACGATGCAACAATACCCACTTGAGGGGCGGTCATCATTTCCAGCAGTCAGTAGTCATTTTGGGGCTTGGGTCGTGGGCGACGCTGAAAGCCATCACACAAAGTAGTCACCCACTTGAATAGGCAAACCACCACTCCTCTAGGGGTAACTTCCCCATTCTTTCCAGGGATCCTTCTTTCTAGAAAACCGCCAAAAACCCTGGGGAAATGGTTTTTTGAAAAGAACGATGGCTGAAAAGAATGGAAAAGGAATCCACCCCTAGAACTCCAAGCCACAAACGGGGGCAATCTTGATGGAGACTCCGCAGACTTATCCGCCGCGCCGATGCCAGGCCCAGGAACTTCCACCGCAGGGCAGCGATTACTTGCTGCAGGCGCACGAAGGGCGCGCTGTTCACTCAGGGCCAGGTTGCAGCCAAGGCTCCAGGGATGCATGCGAAGGTTGGGACAATCCCACATGCAGCCGACCTCTTGATTCTTTACAAGTTGGGTACACTCCTTTAAGATCAGGTGTTGACAGTGATAGTGGAATCATTTCCCTCCATTGACTTTTTGGTTTGCTGCGTGTTTGCCTTGTTCTTTCGAGTACTTGATCGTGTGTTTGGGTTCCTTTATTTGATATCAGTCATATCAGTCAATTAAATTGGTGGTTCTTTGTATGCGAGCTTTAGTCTCTTCAGAGTTTGATCGTTCCTTGTATGCTTGTGTTAGTTCCTTTAACGTCTGTATCGTTCTTCCAGTTCCTTTTATGTCCAACCGTCTTACCTCATTTAGTTGAATCCATCGTTATTTGCATGCGTTGAGTTCTGCCAATTCTGGGTTTACTTGCTACTGGTTGTTTGCTTGGTTTCCTCCAGTTTGGTTTTCTCTTCCGGGACTGGGTCCATGAGGCCTCCAAGAGGGCAAAGGGGCACGGGTTCCGAAGAGGCACGGCCACTTTCTGAGGGGCTGAAAGGAATGGAAGTCAGGATAGGAGCAATTCCCGCTGCCAGCCAAGACAGGGTCCGATTTTTTCCACGTGTTCGGGAGACCTTTTGATTCTTAGGGGATCAGGGAAAGCGGTTCCCGACAGTCAAACGCAGCTTCACCGTCTCCGGCATTGCCCCACTTTCACCCGCGAGCGTGATGTGTTGCTTACTTTTTGGGCGATGTTGGATCTGTCTTATGGCGAGCTGACCGATTGACCATGTTTCAGGCTTAGAATCCTCGAAGGAGTACCGCTTTCAAGGCCAGACTTGGCATGTGTTTGTTTCGCCTTGAGCTTCCTTCCTGTCGAGTTTGCTGGTTTCAACCCGCTAGTTCTCACCTCGCAGGGGTCGAGTCGAATCTGGCGCCATGTGATTGCCACCTGGCGCAAGCCCAGCCAAACTAGGTCCCCTGGTAGTGCCCTTCTCTCCCCTTTTTTTGAGGAGATTCGGTTCCCCTACTAAAATAGACTACGGAAAAAAGTTGGTACCCTTATTCTAACCTCTCAAATCTGGAGGACCTAGCAAAGTTGACCACGTCCTCTGCATGGTCGGGTGGCACATCGCAGCTGACTGAGTGCTAGACAACCCATATGTTCCATAATTGCAGCTGGATATGTGCTTGTTTGTCCAGACCCCTAGTGACTCCACACATGATCAGGCACGGATGTATTGCGCCCTTACAGTCATACCAAGTTGTGCCCCAATTTTGTCACGCCAGCAACAAAGTAACCAGGAAAAAAAGGAACATATACACATATCTGTATAGAAACACCTGTAGTCCCGTAGCGCCCCCAAGCTTTAAACCTGCTACGTCTCTTGACACACACACACACATGGGCCATGCCTGGCAGAAAGTGTGGCATTCCCTGATGCAGCAACAGAAGTTCCCATGTTGGAGTGGTTGCCATGTGTGCTACTCATGTTTCAATTTGTATGTTCCCATGGGCCAACCCTGCTTTTCCCACCCCAGATCCCATGTTTCATGGCCAATACAGTTGTCTTTTTTTGTGTGTTTAAACCCTTTCTCGAGCTCGTTTTAAAGTGGCGCCACATGACCACCACCACTTTGGGCGAGTGCCCCACCCGCCCCGCCCCCCGCACCGTTGCAGCAAACGGGCGGGGCCCCGGGCCCCGGGCCCGCCATGTCATGGACAACAAGCGGCGGCGCAGTGAGATCAATCCCCTGGGAGCCTGCAGCAAGGCAGCCCCCCCGCGCCGCGGCAGCTTTAGGAGGTTGGGCCAAATGACTCACTACCCTCCCACCAACTAACATTGAAGTGCACAGACCCCTGTCGAAAGACTATTCCCCTTGAAAAGGGCCTTTTTTCAACTTCCATGTTGGTGGGAGGGTATGCATCAGTTCTGGTTTGTGCATCAGTTCCTGGGATTTTCTAGCCTCTGACCCACGTGAAGCAGTGATTCATATTGTTTGGTGCTCTTAAGAAGGGGCAAGCGAAGAGCACCAGGAAAGTTGTAGGCATGGAAACCCCACCCCACTTTGGTGCTAAAAATACTTGATATTTTCCCCTGTTGGTTTTAAAGGGAACCTATCACTACTACCAGTAGAGCTGGCGAAGCCGGTGGGCGGAAGTTTCAAAAATATAAACACTATAGTTATCTTTCCCTTTCTTGTCTTGATTCTGATTTATCTTCTTATTTTTGTCCTTCTTGCTGTTCATTGTTTCTTTTCTGTCCGTCCTTCTCTCTTTCTTGCGATCGTTCTTTCTTCCCTTCCTTCCTTTCTTCCTTTCTGCCTGCACTGTTGTCAACCACGCCCCGCACAGCCCACTCTTTTTTTTTTTTTTTCGCATCCTTTTTTTTTTTTTTTTTTTTTTTTTTTTTTTCGCAAGCACCGCGCAGCACTCCACACCCGCGGCCTGAACACCCAGGTTTTTCTGGCCATCTCCCCCTCTCTCTATCTGTCTATCTTTAAACCTAATTATTTACCTACCTTTCTATCTGTCTGTCTATCTATCTATCCATCTATTGCTCAATCTATCTATCTATCTATCTATCTATCTCCCACGTCTATCTATCTATCTATCTATCTATCTATCTATCTATCTATCTATCTATCTATCTATCGATCGATCTATCAATCTATCTCTCTCTCCCCACCTATCTATCTATGCATATCTCTATCTATCTAGCGATGGTTCTCTATCTTTCTCTCTCTATCTTTCTAGCTATCTGTCTTTTCATCTATCTATCTATCCGTCTGTCTCTCTCTCTTTCTCCACCTATCTATCTATCTATCTATCTATCTATCTATCTACCTATCCGTCTATCTCTCTATCTGTCTATCTAGCTAGCTATCTATCCATCTATCTATCTATCTATCTATCTATCTATCTATCTATCTATCTATCTATCTCTCTCTTTTTATCTATCCATCTATCTACCATCTATCTATCTATCTATCTATTTATTGTTTCATCTATATCTATCAAACTATGTACTTTCTATCTGAGCTATCTATGTATCTATCTATGTGTCTATCTATCTATCTATCTATCTATCTATCTAATCTAATCTAATCTAATCTAATCTAATCTAATCTAATCTAATCTAATCTAATCTAATCTAATCTAATCTATCTATCTATCTATCTATCTATATATCTATCTATCTATCTGTCTCTTTATTTATCATCTCTCTCTCTGTCTCTCTCTCTCTCTCTCTAAGTATCTACTTTCTATCTTATCTATCTTATCTATTTACCTATCTATCTATCTATCTATCTATCTATCTGTGTGTCTATCTCTCTACCTATCTATCTATATCTATCTATCTATTTATTTATCATCTATCTCTCTCTATCTCTCTCTAACTATCTACTTTCTATCTTATCTATCTATCTATCTATCTATCTAGCGCTCTATCTCTCTATCTATCTATCTATCTATCCATCTATCTATCTATCTATCCATCTATCTCTCGATCTATCTATCTATCTATCCATCTATCTATCTGTCTCTTCATTTATCTATCTCTCTCTCTCTCTAACTATCTGCTTTCCATCTAATATGTCCATCTATCTATCTCTCTCTATATATCCATCTATCTATCTTTCTATCTATCTATCTATCTATCTATCCATCCATCTATCTATCTCTACCTCTCTCTCTCTCTCTCTTTATTTATCTATCTCTCTATCTATCTCTCTCTCTTCGTCTATCTATCTATCTATCTATCTATCTATCTATCTATCTATCTATCTATCTATCTATCTATCTATCTATCTATCTATCTATCTCTCTTGTTGTATATCTATCTGTACCTAAACTTGCGAAAGTGCTGCGCCTGCCCCGAATTCTGTACTTGACCTTGCGAAAGCGCTGCGCCTGCCACGAATTCTGTACTTGACCTTGCGAAAGTGCTGCACCTGCCACGAATTCTGTACTTGACCTTGCTAAAGTGCTACGCCTGCCACGAAATCTGTACCTGACCCGTCGAAAGTGCTGCGCCTGCCACGCAACGGAAATCCTTGGGAAAACTTGACCTTGCGAAAGTGCTGCGCCTGCCACGAAATCTGCACCCGACCTTGTCAAAATGCTGCGCCTGCCACACAATTCAAACCTTGCGAAACCTCTGCGTTGCCGTGCCAATGGGCCCGGCGCCGAACGTGATCCGAGCATGCTCCGAGCCCGCTCTGACCAGACGCCGCGGACAGGCTAGCTTTCGCATCTCCGGAGACGCGAATTCACGCACAGGGCCACGTTTTTTGCGACTTTCTCATCTCCGAAAACGCCGATTCACGCACAGGGCCACGTTTTTTGCGACTTTCTCTTCCCCTGCTACACGCGCGCGCATTTTTTCTCGCGGGCCTATCCTTCTCTTGTCACTTGTCTCAGAGAGCTGGCTTTCAATTAGTTGCCGTAACACGGAAGTTCCTTCTAAACTTCCTTTGACTAGGAATTTTTATTCCAGGCGACTTAAGCAAATGGAGGGCTACAACGAGGTGGTTCGTTGGGCTCCTTACACCCTGAGTCCCTGGACTTCACACTTGCTCGGGGAGTGAGGCTGGGACAAAGCACCTTACGTCGAGGTAAAAGGCATCAGGTGGACCTTTGAGCAATCCAGTTGTTTCTTGGTGATCGCCCGACCCCTTGTGCGCTCAATGGCTAGAAATTCTGGTGATACTGATGCCAGTTGATAGGTGGTTTTTTCTATTTCGCGGGGCGTCGCATCTTCTCCAGCAGGTGGATTTTGTCCATCCGCTCCATTCCATCAGGCTCTTGAGCAGGTAGCCTTCCCACTCACGCCAGATTTCAAGGCATTGAGGATTTCCAGCGCCTCGTACCATGCAACAGCGTTGCCATGTTGTTTGGCAATGACAAAGCAGACAGTTGGGCACACAATGGAAATCCATGGTGGTATCACAGGGTGCTCGAAATCCTGCAAGCGAATCCTGTTAGCATCACCCCACCGGCATGGAGCCGGTCAATTCAGCCAGTCCTTGTTTGCCCTACCACAATGAGGTGCATTGGGCAGAGTCCAAGGACCATTGCCACGATGTCAGGCTAAGATCTGAGTAAAAGCAGGGATGTTTTTTTGAAGACACCGGTTCTTCCTTGGTGGCTCCCAGCCATCCTCAGGTTTTTTTTTTTTTTTTTTTTTTTTTTTTTTTTTTTTTTTTTTTTTTTTTTTTTTTTTTTCGGGTTTTTGGCTGGTTGAGTGGTTGGGTGTCCGTTATTTTAACCCACCAAAAGTTCGTCACTTTTCGATTTGTTCAGGTTTTAGCTGGTTGAGTGGTTGGGTGTCCTGATTTTAACCCACGAACAGGTCGTCACTTGTCGCCGGGGATCTGCCAACGGACAGCTTCGGTTGCAAAGGCCCCCGCCACCGATCCCGCGACCGATGGGCGCGGTGTCCGGCGCGTTGCCTTTGGGGCTGCAGCACTGTAGCAAGGTCGCGATCCGTGAGGAGGGTGCGGGGGTTTTGGGGGGTTGGGGGGCTGGGGGGCTGGGGGGTTGGGGGGTTGGGGGGTTGGGGGGTTGGGGGGTTGGGGGGTTGGGGGGTTGGGGGGTTGGGGGGTTGGGGGGGTTGGGGCTCGGAGGGATAGAAATAGTGAAGCTGTAGATCATGTGTTGAGTTCTTGGACTCCTGGGATTTTTTGGGGCAACCCAAGTCAGTGGCAAGGAAGAAGTGGGGCGTTTTTGGTTTCGATCGGTTTGTGGATGGCTAAACGTGAAGTCTTCGAGGTGATGGGCGACGTCACCGATATGTTCCAAGCCCTGGCCCAGCATTCGCCTTTTGATTTTGCTGCAAATTGACATGGAAACTGAAAAAGGGGGTCCATGTCCACAAGGAAGCGGGCTTTGGGTTTTCCATTTCAGGTACCCTTGGCGGCCCAACTGCATTCTTGCAGGCTGCCCCCTAGGAGTCTGCACCAACACACTCGGCTCGGGATTATATCCACTGGGGCGCTGTACCATGCACCTAGGCTGCAGACGAAACCTGGCTTTCTTCGGGTGTAAGTCATGTTCTCGAACAAGACCAGACCTCAGCTTCGACGTGCAAAGTCTTGGCTCAAGCTACATCCTCGCTACGCCTTTCGTTTCGTGCCCCACAAGATGCGTGAGCTCGTGCACGTGCAGGGTGGACAGTGCCGTTGATGCCACTGGCATTCTTTTTGTGATTCGCTGCACGTGCTGGACTCTGCCTGAAAAAAGCAAACTAGCCGCTACGCTGGATGCCCTGAGTATTTCCACCCATGCTCAACCACAAAGCCCTAGTAGGTTTCGGCAAAATTGAGGGTTCCCTTCCCTTGCCAGCGAAATGTTGAGGGCATCCAGTGAGTAGCCCTTTATCTTGTTGGTGCTCAGCAGGGAATGAGAAATGGAATGACCCCTATAAACCATCCAACTGGTGGTTTCCTTTTTTCTGGAATCCGAAAAACGGTTCATTCCACTTCTCCTTCCCTACTTATCGCAGCAGCAAGTTATTTCATCGGTTTTTTGCAACCACTGCCCTACCGCTTTGCTTGACTGGAGGTGTGGCAATCAGATCGGCGCCAAGTTCTGGGAGGTCATCGCGGACGAGCACGGCATTGACCCAACAGGCAGCAAAAAGAAAGAGAAAAAAGCAAGAAAAAACCACCCAGCAAAAATCATGGGGGACGTGGCCAGCTTGTTCATCTGATTGTACTGTGTGTCTACATTTGAACTAGGGAGTCTCTGGTGAACACCAACTCTGCGCTTGCTGGTGCGATAGGGAGGGAAGGAGAAGTGGAATGAACCGGTTGGGGAGTCCCGAAGAAAGGAAACCACCAGTTGGATGGTTTATAGGTGTCATTCCATTTCTCATTCCCTGAGCACCAGCAAGACAATCATGGGGGAGGACTCACAACATGGGGGCCAAATCTGTCTAGAAGTCCTTGTAAATTTGGAGCAAAGCAAGGAAATCGTCCGAAGCCATTCATTCATTGCAAACAGGGCCAAGGCCTTCCAGATTCGATTGTCGCAGGATTGGCGCCCATTCACAGGTGATTCAGATCCATTAGATCACTCGCTTCGTTTGTATGGAGGTTTTAATTTGAAGCGTTGTGCCACTTGCCCTTCCCACCGGAAAATTAAAACTGGGGGTGACCCTTGGAAGTCAATTTTCCCTGTAGGGGGAGTGTTTTCACCCAAGATGTGTTCGCTAGTTCCAGCCTCATTTGCATGTAGGCGTGTTCCAAATGTGTGGTAGGCTTGGGTGAATCTCGGGTCCAGGACGGGGTGTCGAGCTCATAAATCCCAAAAAACCAGGGAACCTCTAACAATTTCGATCAAAAGCAGTGAACTCGCTAAATGTCAGCCACGCAAAACACACAAACTCACTAGGTAGTTGTCCCCATCGGCACAAGAAAGACCCGTGGAGGCACCTACCATGGAGATTCGGACCTGCAGCTGGAAAGGCGGGATTTTGGCTTGGGCTCAGTTCAACTGCCACGACAAATGGCAACCCCGGATGAACAAACCACTGTTTATTTTATATATGGGGGTGTCCCTGGTTGAGTGGGGATTTATCACAGGTGGAGGAGAATAATAGGACGGGTTCATTTAATCCTGGGTCAACTTTACCAGCTGGTAGTCTGCTGATGTTTCTCGAATGCCGAAATTGCTTGCTGGTGCGATAGCTAGGGAATGACTCGGAATGACCCTTCCGGGTGTTGGGAATGAACCCGTTTTAGGGGATTCCGTTAAACAAAAATTTGAGGGATGGGTTATGGGGGTCATTCCCTCTTAGTCTTGCTGAGCACCAGCAAGATTGTCCAGTTGGGAAAGAAACAAGAGGAGCCATGGGAAGATTATGACATATGAACCTTAATGGCCCAGACTGGCTCGTGATTGTCCCTATTTGTCAATAGTAGTCACCACTAGGCTGCAAGAGCCCCCCTTGCCCTGTTTGCAAGTCAGTCTTCGGAAAGGACTACCCTTCGCGAACCGCTCTCCTTAATGATTCAACATGCCGCACGTAGTGACATCTTAGAGTGCCTCAAAGCCTGTCCACACGCAAATCCTGACTCTGAGATTTTTCCCCCATTCTTTCTAGTGATATCCAGGCATCCTCTTTTCTAGAAAGCCACCAAAATGTCAAGTTGGAAAGCATTGGGTTTAAACACACAGGAAATCCATCCCACCGATGAGTCAATTCCAAGAGGTTACTTGGTGCCTACTACGTGACCATTTTAATTTGATACCAGGGGATGCCCCGGTTAGAAATTCCGATTTTTCATCGGCACACGGCTGACCCTGCCAGCTGCAAGGCCGAGCCACTAGGTGAGGACATGTACACTCTCCGGTGAAAGTCGGTGCGTTCGCGTCCAACTTCGCGAGCCCAAATAGTGCTTAAAAACGAATTGGCATCTTGACATACTGCGTCACAGTGGGATTTGCTGCAAGATTTGCACTGTCACTCCCTGAGTTCTTGGACTTCATGCTTTTTGGGAAGTCATTTCAGTACATCCGCAACACGTGGCGACAACATTGGGCGTGTCATTTGCGAGGGTGTTTGTTTTGGGGTTGGTTTTAAAGGGACACCAAAGGGACACCACTCATTTAGGGGTTGCTCCATTTGGAGTCCCCTTTTGGGAAGGCTCCTATGGACTCTTTCATACCATGTAAATGCTTGGGCAGAAATACGATGGCCCCTTTTTGGTCTCAGGTCTCTCACGCCGGTTGTGTGCAAAGAAAGAACCTCACACACACACACACACACCACGCCAATCACTGCCAGGCCCGTGTTCGTTGCCCACTTTTGCCAAGCAGCTGTAGTCATAGCAAAGGAAGCATGCACACTGTACGGCATGCAACGCCAACATCGTATACTTACGTGCATGTATAGACAGATGCCAGCAATATTGTTACAAGTGTATGTACACACACAAATATGTTTGATTACGTGGATGTTTTTTCCTTAAGACACCTTCCCCCCCCCCTCCCCCTTGCCCCAAGCTTCTTGTGCCCCGCGCGTGTTGCAAGGATCAATGTCTACTTCAATGAGGCAACTGGTGGCCGCTACGTGCCCCGGGCTGTGCTCATGGACCTGGACGCCCGCCAGAAATGAAGAGACATAAGACCCACAAGTTTTCAGGAGAAGCCGGAGAAGCCCCTTATCATCTAGGTCCAGTACTGCCCTTTCTCACCCCTTTTTCGGGGGAGGGTTCCCCTACTAAAATAGATTACAGAAAAAAGTTGGTACCCTTCTTCTAACCTCTCTACTGGAGGACCTTGTCATTGACGCTCACTTCCTGAGTTCCTGGACTCGAGTCACTTTTTGGGGAGGAAGACCACTTTTGTGGGAAACATGCAGTTTAGACGTTTTGTTGGCCAATCCACTCAGGAAGTGAGTGCACGCTTGAACCATCCTAAGCCTCTCTCCAGCATGGACTCTTGGGCTCTAGAGAAATGTTCGGCAGAGGGCCCTCCCCAGACACCCAAAACATGCATTGGGTTATATGGGCGCCCATACCCCCAGTGAACATCCCAATCCCCACTAAAATAGGTTCTAGAATGGGTGGTGCACCTATCCCAAATTGGGATCCCATTGGTTTTCAACCATGGCCATATAAGCGGCGGGTCTTGGGAAGCAGAGTTTCGTACTTGGGGCACGGCACCTCCAGTCGTGTCCCTTACCGAGGAGCCGGGGACCATGGACAGCGTGCGCGCAGGGCCCTTCGGTCAGCTCTTCCGGCCGGACAACTTCGTCTTCGGACAGACCGGGGCTGGCAACAACTGGGCGAAGGCTGGTTTGCACTTGCTTGGTCCCCCAGTAGTGCCTTTTCTCACCCCTTTTGTGGGGAGGGTTCCCCTACTAAAACAGAAGACAGCAAAGAAGGTACCCTTATTCTAGCCTCTCTACTGGAGGACCTGGACTTGCTTGGTTGCTGTTTGGTTAGGACACCTTTGATTTTCCAGGACCCACTAGCCGGCTGTTTAGGCCCCAGTCCTTTTCATGCCATTTTGGACATTATTTGTTCTTCCAGAACCCACTACCTAGCCAAAGGTGCAAACACAACCAACATCCATTGCCCTGCTGGAATCAGGGCCACTATACAGAAGGGGCCGAGCTCATCGACTCAGTGCTCGACGTGGTTCGCTGCTCGGGCTATTCAGGGCTGGGTTCGCCCAAACATTATGTGGGCCCCCTTTCCTTCACCTGTTTAGGTTTCGCTCCGCAAAAGCGGGTGTCCCTTTTTCCCATGGACATTGGGGGAAGTAGGCCAATGCGACGCTTTTGCAGGCAGGCAATGGCGGAGGATTCCCCGCTGCCAAGCTGAAGGTCCCACCCAGTTTTGGGTTTTCAACGTTCCCTTAAAGAGAAGCCCTTGCCATTTGAACACTATTTTGGGACCCCCCCAATAAATTCATCGAGCTGCCAATCTCAGCCTCACTCCAGGTCTGGCGAGTCTCAAGACGGCCCAAGGTGAATCGGCCTTCTGACCCTGCTTTCAGTTGTTGGTTTCTTTCAATGAAAGACGAGAAGAGGCTTGAGTTCGAGGAGACTTCAGCAGACCTTCCAAGCCGCAGTCGCATAGATCACATGAATTGATGGTCGATTCCCAATTCAATTATTGCAGGCCCTGTAAACCTGTAGACGGCAGCACAGGCGACTGGTCGAGATCACGTGGGACCCGCCATAAACGGAATCGCGCTTTGTGAGCATCCTATGGAACCGGTTTTTAGGACGCGTCAGGCACCCCATCTAAATTTCTGGACCCTCAAAGCCAGAAAAGGGAGTCCACCCCATAATTTTGGGGCAATCTTCCTATTTTTCAGGGTCCAGGTTTTTTCGAGCACCTCAAACCGTGTGAGTTCGGGGAATCGAGATTCCGAGGAAAGGAGGCCGAGGGCTGCGACTGCCTGCAGGGCTTCCAGCTGTGCCATTCCCTGGGTGGAGGCACGGGCGCGGGCATGGGCACCTTGCTGATCTCCAAGGTGCGCGAGGAGCGGCGGTGAAACCCATCCCAAGCCACCAAATAGGGGCAAGACCGGAGCGAGAACAGACATTGGTTGGTTTCCTAAAAGTGGTTGCCAATCTTGGTTGAAACGTCCTGCCCGATCAAGGCTGTTTGAAGTGTTCATACCAAGTCTGATTTCATGACGGAAGTTCTTTTAGGCTGGAGTTAGGATCAATGCTAGCGTGATTGGAATATCTGATGTGCAGACAATCAATGGGTCCAACCCTGAGGAGTATCCCGACAGCCGCTTGTTTTTGCTAGTACTCTTGTTGATGCCCTTGCGACATTGACCTGTTAATTACAGCATCAGTGTTGAATGTCAAGTTGACGAATGGCTAAGGAATCATGGAGACGTTCTCTGTGATTCCCTCGCCCAAAGTGTCCGATACCGTTGTGGAGCCTTACAATGCCGTGCTCAGCTTCCATCAGCTCGTGGAGAACTCTGATGAGTCCTTCCTGCTCGACAACGAGGCAGGTTCTTGCATGACCGGCCGGGCGTTTGACGATAAATACCTCTACACCATGCGCATCACAAACAGCAGTCCAGTTTGGAATATTGCGGAAGGTTGCACAACTTGTGGTACATGCCATCAATTGCGCTGTTGCTGTTGCTGCTGTTGCTGCTGCTGCTGCTCCTCTTCTTTTGTGATTTGTAGGTGGTTGGCACTAGGCAATTGATTTCAGTTGAGTTTGGGTGGCTGTTGTTTTTTTGTTGCATTTCTGCTTTGCGTTTTCAATTGATTTCCGCTTGCTGTTTTTACCTCGCAAGGCCTTGTACGACATTTGCTTCCGCACGCTGAAGCTGACAACGCCAACTTACGGCGACCTCAACCACTTGGTCTCAGCAGCCATGTCCGGGGTGACTTGTTGTTTGCGCTTCCCCGGACAGCTGAACTGCGACCTGCGCAAGATTGCCGTGAACTTGGTGCCGTTCCCGCGGCTGCACTTCTTCATGACCGGCTTCGCACCGCTGACCTCCCGCGGGTCGCAGCAGTACCGTGCTTTGACGGTGCCTGAGCTGACTCAGCAGATGTTTGATGCCAAGAACATGATGTGCGCGGCAGATCCCCGTCACGGGCGCTACTTGACGGCCGCAGCGCTGTTCCGGGGCCGCATGTCCACAAAGGAAGTAGATGAGCAGATGCTTAACGTGCAGAACAAGCGTCTTGGCGAGCAGTGATCAGATGGTAGTTGCGGTTTGCTTTACAGATTGGTCATAGAATATGTTCAACACTGCTTGTGGCGGCATCATGAAGCATGTGTAACGCGGCATGGAGCGCTTGCATGTCGCCGCAAGGAACTCGTCCTACTTTGTGGAGTGGATCCCGAACAACATCAAGGCATCGGTCTGCGACATCCCGCCGAAGGGCTTGAAGATGGCGGTCTCCTTTGCCGGGAATTCCACCGCCATCCAGGAGATGTTCAAGAGGGTTGCGGAGTACTTCACCGCTATGTTCCGCCGCAAGGCATTCCTGCACTGGTACACCGGTGAGGGCATGGATGAGATGGAATTCACAGAGGCCGAGTCCAACATGAACGACCTGGTCTCCGAGTACCAGCAGTACCAGGATGCCACTGCGGAGGAGGAAGGTGAATTTGATGAAGAGGAGGGCGAGTATGATGGCTAGGCCAAGAAAATTCAATCGCATCTCAACCGTGCTGAAACCATCACGGTACCGAACTGAGTTGGGTCTACTTTCAAGAGACACGTCTTGACGGTGGACACCATGAAACTGTGCTGAATCCAAAAAGATTCGAGCAAACTGCCTTCGTGTTCTGTGTCGTACCTTCCCCACAAAGCACTGCAAAGAACTTTGCACAATGAAGTCCCCATCATTGGGCGTGTGTATCTTCGGAGGGGTGTCCCTTGCTGGTGTTGGACACTTGTTGTGGAACCCCTTACCCGAAGCACCATTTTAGGGAGTGTGGCGCACGGGTTTTCTGGTGTTGGGCCATCAAAGTCTGTAGGACAAACAGGGAACCACTTACCTTGGTGGTTTCCAGCCATCCCCTCAGCTGTTTCGGTTCTTGGGGTTTGTGGGGCTTTCCATTTTACTGGTTGGTTTGGACAGCCCACTTAGAAGAAACCGGGCACCGACCTTTGGGGGTGATTTCAGCGATTTCGGCTTGGCTCCAACAAGGAGATGCAAGGGGGAGTTTGATTTGACATGATTTCATTCTCCTATTACTTGCCGAAAGCTGACCTTTTGATTTCCCCTTTTGGCAACCAGTTTTAGTCATGGCCCCAAAATGTGAACCTTTATTTCTGGGTCCTTTGGGCAACTGAGTATTTTATTACTCATGTTTCAAGTTGCTGATTGTGTCTACTTGCCCGCCTTTGTTTGATGTTGCAGAGGGGGCATGAAGCAAGGTGAGTCAACAGCTTCCATAACTTTACTCATGCGCGTCTCTTGGCTTGCTTGTGGGTACTTTAGGAAATTGAGTTCTGCTGATATGGGCATTTCTTTGACACATATATCATACATACATACGTAATTATATACATACATAAATACCGCAATACATATATACACATATATATATGACATGTAGACCAGAGTGTATGTTGGATATTCTTCCTCCGACTAACATAGCACCCGTCAGAAAGGGTCCCTGACCTGGAGGATCAGATTCCTGTCGAGACTTTTGTCAGCTAGTGGGAGTGAGGCGAACCCGTCGCAGCGTGCAGCCATCTAGGAAACGGTTTTTGGACGCGCTCTCTCTGTGGATTTCACCTGTTCTTCCCCCTGTAGGTGCTTTTTTTCGTACTCTTTTTAATACTCTTTTGATATCCTACAGGGCTGGATCCACAAAAACCGCATCCAATCCGTTTCCTATTGACTTCCCGGAGGCGCCGGCTCCCTCCCGGGTGGTGCGTGGCCGCCGGGCCTTCGGCAGCCAAAGCCGCTTCGAACGCGAGAGGGACGGCCTGTTGACCCACCAGTCTGAATCCCCACTGTGGGGGACACCTCCCCTATGAATGAATCAACCAGGGGTTGATTAATCCGGGGTTAACATTAAATCTTCACAGGTTTCGAGTGAGAGGGTGCGCCAAGAGTTGATTTTCTCACCCCTTCGTGATTGGTTTTGGTTAGTTTTTATTTTGGTTGGCCTGTGCCTGGGTGGGTTTTTTGGGATGTTGCCGTGTGCATTTTCAGGCTTACTCCAACTGAACCTTAATCGAACCTCTGTTTCCGAAGCCGAGCAAGGCTACCTCCGGTCCTGGGACCTCAGCGAGCCAGGCCAGAGACTGGAGGAGGATTCCAAGGAGCCTGTGACCAATTCGGATCCTTCGAGTCCTGCGGATGGACTGGAAAAAAGTCGTACGACTCGGTGGGGAAAACACATAAACAAGTTCGCAACAGGTTCGTTTTGGATCCCCCAGAACGTCTGCGAAAAATAAGTCGTGTGGCTTTTGGTGGGGGACAACACACCAAAAAGATCCCAACAGGTACTGGGGATGGTTGCGAAATCCGAAAAGATCGCAGAAACCAGAACGTTCGGTGGTATTCAGGGGAATCAGCAATTCAGGGCTTCTTGGGTGGAGCAGGATTTTGCCCATCCACTGTCTGGGGCCCCCAATAGGATTCAATAGAGCCCCCATAGGGGCCCCCCCCATCCCAATAGGGGCTAATACTGTGGATGGACGCAATCCTGCACCACCCAAGAATCCACGGGAAGCCATTGTTTGCTGGTATTTGCAGGGGAATCATCATTCCGGGTTGTCTTAGGTGGTGCAGGAGTTCGTCCATCCACAGTAGCGACTAAGAGGGTCTATTAGCGGTGAGTGGCCATTTACTGAAATGAATATTTTATTCATTTTGCCTTGTTGGTCTTGAAGGGATTCAATTTCACTGTGGATGAACTCGAAACAAGTCGTCCAACGGCTTGTGGTGGGGAAAACACACATATGATCCCAACAAAAACTGTGGATGGCTGCGAAATCCAGAAATCACACCACGAAATGAAACCATGGGAATGAAACCACCAGGTTCGTTGGTATGTACGTTGGGGAATCGAATCATTCCGTTGTTTCTTGGGTGGTGTGCAATGGATTTCGTCCATCCACCGTATGGGCGTCAAGGGCCCCCCCAAGTCCAATAGGGGCTAATAGCGACCAAGAGGGTCTATTAGGGGCCAGTGGGGTTCCTTTCAGGCCCCAAGGGTTTCATGGCAAGTAGGGTTTGGCCCCCTCGGCTACTTGAATGTGCGGAAATCGAGTGTTCCCTATGTTCCCTTGGGACACCAGCCTGTTTGCTTTCTTTGTGTGCCTTCCGAGGTGGGACCGTGGGCGTTGGTTCGTTTCAAAGCGACTTCGGGTTTTCGCAGGCCGCGGTGGTCTTCAGCACAGGCCAAGTGATCCAACTGTCCATTTCCCGGCACATTGCGTCATTTTAGGCCAAAATGATCAGCCCAAGTGTCCTTTCAACCACTTCCGGTCCATGTCTTGGGATTTTCATGTGAGTTCAATGGGTTCCGTCGTGCTCCCGAAAGGGTCACTTTCAAGCCCTTCGCACAACAATTGGGCACCCTTCCTAGATTGAGATAGACTTAGATAGACCTGGTTTGGCTTCAATGTGCCTAAATCTCTTCAATGTGCCCAAATCCCCATTGGAACCACTTTGGTAGGTGGTAAACCACTACCTGGTTCAACAATGAAAGGTCGACAGAGACCTTTTCATGTTAACGGGCCACAGTGTCAACTGTCAATAGGCTTGGGGCGCGCAAAAACAATCAGGATGCAATAAGAATCCCATGCGAACCGTTCTAAGGGGTGGGATCAGGATGCGGTGGTTGCAGCATGGGTCGAGTCTCGCTGTGAGGAGCACCAGGAGATGATGCAAGCAGCGCTGCTGCTGGAGTCGTTGGTGCCAACCAGGAGCATCTCTTGAAGTTTGGCGGATGCACTGCAAATGGGTATGTGACGGTAAGTTTTTTTTTGTTGGTAACCCTTGCTATCCCTTGCTTAAAAAACAACTTTGGTAACCCTTGCTTGTTTCTTTTTTTCAGTTTTGTTTTTATTCTTCTTTTAAGGGGGAACAGAAACCACACAGAACCGCACTTTTTTTTGGGGGGGAAGGGATGCTACCTTGCGAGTAACCTCCTTCCCTTTTGCCAATTCTGGATCTAAGTTGGCATCCTCAAAATTGCCCTATCCGGTAAACAAAAAGGAAACCCACAATTTTCAGTCTGTGACTCTTGCCACGTGGGTGGGGGCAAAAAGGGGCGGCTTCTGTGGAGAGAAGCACACCAAGGCCTCCATTTATCCCAAGGAAATGCTGTACATCCCCGCCTCTTAGACTTCCTTCCTCGGAAGGGGCGGCCAAATGTCGTGAAGGGCAAGTCAACCAGGGGCGCTCGCAGCTTGCCCTGAAACAGCTTGCGCTCTTTGTTTGAAGAGCGTCAACCACAATTGTATACCACCGGCTTTGTTTTCCTCAAAGGCGGGTAACGAGGAGCAATGATAACCCAGATGAGCAAGCATTTGTGCGCGCGCAACCCATCCAGATCAAAGGTTCCAGTGTAAATGAAACACTGTCGGCGGAGTCCGTCTCACTCAGGGGCAAATGGGATAACAAATGGGTGTTTCTCAAAACTTGGCTCCAGGTGGTTTTCCTTTCGGTGTCCTTTTGGACCCATCCAAAAAGGCGCCCCCTATTTTGAGACACACACACCCCCCAAATTCGGCTCACATTTCGTTGGGTTCCTCGAGTTCACTGGGTAGCACCTGCTGGGACCGACCCCTGGCTGCATCTAAACGGATTCGTTCAAAAGGCAAATGACATCAATTCCAGCTCACTTTTTTGGACTTCAGCATTTTCTAGGTCCCCCAGTAGTGCTTCTCACCCTTTGTTTGGTTGGGAGGGTTCCCCTAGTAAAATTGACTGCAGAAAAAAGGGTACCCTTATTCTAACCTCTCTACTGGAGGACCTAGTTTGTGTTTGTTTTTTTGAGCAGAGAGAAAGCCTCTCCAATTCTGAATTTTCCACCGAAACTTAACCCATGAAATTCCTGAACAAAATATCGCCCTCTTAGGGGGCAACCGAAAGACGGAGCCCCATGTCCGACAACATCAAGGACTTGATGTGACCCCTGATTGACATTATATTAGTTCTCCCCTCTTCTGGGTGAGTGTTCCTTTCCCAGAGATTTCAATTGATTTTGTTTGCAGGGTGTATCCATCTTAAATGGACCCTGGTTGATTATTTGGACTGGTTGCCGTTGCAATTGGAGGGGGTCCGTCACTGTTGAGATGACTGTTAATCTGCCAGGTTGAAGTTAGCCGGGTGCCCAAAGTTTGATGCCAGGAAATTCAGGTACACACTCAGCTCTCAATTGCCTAAGCTGGCTTAGTGAATCTACGAGGGGTACCTTTAGCGAATGGCAACCTAGGGTTAGTGTCCCTTGGTTGACTTTCGGTATGTCTCACAGTGGGAACCTGTATCGAACCCTCAAGCCATAGGACCAAAAGACCTCCGAGGGGAAAACCCAATGCCCACGGCAAAAAGCTCAAGCCGTCCTTTTCTTGCTGGTGCGATTGGTCGGGTGTATGGGAATGAGCCTAGGGATTTCCTTAACGGAAGGGATGGTTTATGCAGGTCATTCCAGTAATCTCATTCCCTTCATCCCTCGCACCAGCAAGGATTTGTGAACCCCCAGATTCGCGCTTTTCTCCGAAGACAGACCACCATACACAGACTTTCAAACAAGTTTCTGTCCTTGGGCGGCCCATTCGTCCATCTCACCCATGGGGGGAGCTAGGGGTGAGAGGACAGATGAAGGCGCAGCCCAAGCCCCACGCCCGGAGTTCTGAGTCCATCCGCAGGCTCCAAGCAGATGCCGAAGCTTGTGCCGTGTGCCGCGAGCCAATGCGCGGAGCCCAAGCCCGGCAATGTCAGCGACCGGACGTCGTTTTGGGGGGATATGGAGAGATACTGAGGCCCTGCTTGGCGCAAACCTCCTGGTCATTTAAGGAACCAATCTCTGGTTATGGGTTCCCCCTTTAGATGGAGGGATGCTAAGGTCTTGTTGCGCAAATTCTGGTGTTGTGGGCAACCAATCTTTGGTTATGGGTAAATTTAATTCCCCTGTGTCCCTGCAATTCTAGGGGTACCTTCCCCATTCTTTCTAGGGATCCTTCTTTCTAGAAAACCTCCAGACTCCCAGGGAAAACAGCGATTGGTTTTTGAAAAGAACGATGGTTGAAAAGAATGGAAAAGGAATCAAGCCCTAGATTTCGTAGATGTTTGGTTCTTTGAAACACCCCGAGAAAAGGGGAACCCTCAAACCAAGAGGAATCCTACCTAGATCCCCAGTTGCCCGTATTTTCCAGCTACTTTTGCCATACCTAGAACTTCCTGCGGCGGAAATTTCTGCCGCAACGCATTGCGGCGGAAATTCCCGCCGCATTCCAGAAAATCAGCCGCAAACAGAAAAAAACGCCGCAACCGAAACAACAACGCCGCAACACCGTTTGTTTTCCGGGAATTTCCGCCGCATTCCCGCCGATTTCCGCCGGGGGGGTGGAAAAAACTGAAAGCAAGTTCTGCCGCAAATTTCAAAAACACCGCAAATCAGGAAGACATGCCACAAATCCAAAAAGGCGCCTTTATTGATTTGCGGCAGAAACTTCTGCCGCAACGAATCTCTAGGTATTAGGCTACTAGTGGGTAAAGTGGCTGCAAAAAAGTAGCTACTTGGGGTTCCAGGTGGCACCATCAAGGCATCCACCTGGCTTTCGACAGCGACTCGCGACTCGCGACCCGCGACTCGGGCGAAAAATCCGCGCGCCGAAGGCGCCGGGCGGAGTTGGTGCGGCGCCTGCCCTGTGCTCACGTCTTCCACGCGGCGTGCATCGCCCGGTGGCTCTGCGTGAAGGCCAGGGAGGGCTTGTGAGGTCAATGGTTTGAGGGTAGAAAGACCTGAGGGGGGGTGTGGGAGAGCTTTTGCAATTGAGGTGTTGTTTTGTTGTTTGTAGCCCTTAAATCTATCTCAGATAGTTGTATGTCCCATTCCTTGCAGGGATCTTGTCAGAGAAAGCCGCCAAACCAAAGCGAGCGTTTCTCGAAAGAACAAAAAGGGTCAACATGGGGTCAACCTTTGGACAGTTGTTTAGTGGTCCCTGTAAAGTGCTGGGGCCCAATGCACATGGTCGGCCCCAAGCAGGGTCTTTGGGCAACAGGGGTATCTTTCCTGAGGCTGTTTGAGAGGAAATCGAAATCCAGTGGGGAACCAGGCCCTCTGTTGAAGGGTTTCCCCAGATTGTGGAAAACTGGCGGTAGGTTGCCGCGTTGTGCAATCCCCTGACAAGGTAATTGGTAGAAAACATAAAAGGTTCCTCTGCTAGTTTTTGTCGCTCTTGCAAAAATCTGGGACCTGGCAGTCGAGTTTCGATTTGTTCAGAACCCTCTAGATCTGGTTGAAATATGGAGTGCTGAGAGTGCAGATCGGTTGAACAGAACATTTAGGATATTGCTTGTTAGTCAACTTGGTTTTCCTGGTGCTTGAACATTTTAAACCATGTCCAAGCGCGCCGTCAGTTTGCCCCTTTGCCCTCTAAATTGGTTGCCTTTTCTGGGGAGGTGTCCGCCCGGTACAAGGTGCTTTTTGGGCGTTGATCGGCTCATCCGAGGCTTTTCCGGACGATAGATGGTGTCTCTCGGAGTCGATCGTCTTTGTTGGTTGGTGCGTGAAACGAAGCCCAACAAACCTTTTTGCCCCTTTCTTTTTTACCCTTTTGGGTTTCCGTCGTTTTCCATTTTAAACCACCAATAAAAACAACTTGTTCAAAAGGGTCTAAGTCTTCAAGTCTGGCCAGGGAAAAAGACGGCTCAGGTGGTTGCTTTAAGGGATTTGCACCTTGGCTGAACTCATTTACGCATAGTGCAATCTCGAGGGTTGGCGCCCAAAGGACACCGCCCAGTGCATGCTCCGTGGCGACCATTTGCGTAGACGGTTTTGGAGGGTGCTTCGTTTCTTCTTTGTTTTGTGTTGCTGTTGTGGGGGGGGAGAGGTTTGAAGGGCAACCAGAAAACACTTGTTTATGGTGCTTCTGTTTTTTTTTCTGTTTTGTTGTTGTTGTTGTGAGGGGGGGGGGTTGAAGGGAAAAAATGAGGGGGCAATGGCACACTCCTGCGCCATCGACTTGAAAGGCCACCTGCCCGCTGGACAAGTCGGATGTGCGGAAGGCCCTCGAGGCTGCAGCCTTATAGCTCATGGGGCTCCATTGGCTGGATTTGGTCACGTAACTGTAACTCCTTCAGCCATAGGTGTCCTTCTTAGGTAATTTTGAGTAAAAATAGATGGCACTGGTTTAGGTCGGGTTGCTTCCATTTACCAGGGCCATCTATTTTTCCAAAAGGCCACCTGAGTCGAAAAAAAAACCCGTTGTATGTGTCAATGTAAGGCATGATCCCAGGTCTTTTGGACCTATCAAATTAGCTGCACCGCCGCTTGTAATTTGAATGGCAGGAGTGTGTTGCAGGAGCGGCCGCGCAAGTCAAACATGGGGCCGCGCAAGTAAAGCGCAAGTGAAGCGCAAGTGACGCAGTGATGATTCATCATCATCATCATCATCATCATCATCATCATCATCATCATCATCATCATCATCATCATCATCATCATCATCCGCATGGTCGAAAGAATCCGGAAGATTGCTAAATTTTCGCGCAAGTCGCGCGCAAGTCGCGCGCAAGTCGCGCGCAAGTCGTAGATGCCTTGGATCAGGAGTGGCCCATTTCTGCAGTTTGCATTTTCTTTGTTTCTGCAGATCCCAGCAATGAGTTGCAGCAGCCAGCAGCAGCAGCAGCAGCAGCAGCAGCAGCAGCCAGCAGCAGCCAGCAGCCAGCAGCAGCAGCCGCAGCAGCCAGCAGCAGCAGCAGCAGCAGCAGCAGCAGCAGCAGCAGCAGCCAGCAGCAGCAGCCGCAGCAGCAGCCAGCAGCAGCAGCAGCAGCCAGCAGCAGCCAGCAGCAGCCGCAGCAGCCAGCAGCAGCAGCAGCAGCAGCCAGCAGCAGCCAGCAGCCAGCAGCCAGCAGCAGCAGCAGCAGCAGCAGCAGCAGCCAGCAGGAGCAGCCGCAGCAGCAGCAGCCGCAGCAGCAGCCAGCAGCAGCCAGCAGCAGCAGCCAGCAATTTGCAGCGGTGTACACACCTGAGACCTCATACACTTAAGGGGCATGTTTTTGGGGGACCTCACTCTTATGAAGACCGCCGCTTGCATTTGCAATGAAAACATCCTGGGATAAGAGTTTTAACACGTTTTTTTTCCAGCTCACCTATGCCTTCAACTATTTTTCTCGCGGTGTATCAAGTATTCTTCGGTAGGTTTCTTTGGGATGTGAAAGCCATGTTTTGTGTACCCAGGGATCAAGACTCCATTCTGTGCCAAGGGATCCGAATCTGTTTGTTCCATTCTGAACACCAAAGAACAAGAAAGCACAGGAAAGGGATGCCTTCCTTTTCTTCTCTTCACTACCCTCCGTCTGGGAAGGGTAGTTTTCAGGCTGCTGGCGTGGGATCAGCACCAATGGACCAAGCTTTCATTTGCAGTTGAGGATGCTGACCAGCCCCAAAATTTCCCTTGGTTTTTTGTTTGAGCCTTGGTTTTTTGTTGGAGGATGCACATTGCCCCAAGGGGCAACGGTCGAAGGGAATTTTATTTGCATGGGCAACCGATGCGACTGAACCAATCGGGGGTACGGACGAATCAACCAAGGAAGCTTCCTTGTGGATTGCCCAGATGGTCCAGAAAATTAGAATACAACGACCGATTCGGGTAACACCAACTCACCCATGAAAGTCCCTGTCCTCGGGATGCCTCAATCATATCTTGGGCTCTGAATTCTGGTAATGTGCCCAGATTGTTCCAGCTAGCGCCATATCGGGCCATATCGGGCCACTCACAACACTCCCAGTTGGAGTTTCCCATGGGCCCTTCCAGGGAACCCCAGGCCCCCCCCACCCCCAAAAACGGCCGGCGACTTCCCCCCCAAGGCCCTTCTCGGCCTTGGTCGCCACTCGCCTCCCCTTTTCGCGGTACGGTGGATGCACAAAACGTTGCAAGGGGACATTTGCGACAACCCGGCACCTTGCCATCCGTGGTTGGTGCTTGCCATACTCGGGCCGTCTTTGGTGCCTTTTTGGGCTTCCTGGCTGCAGCATCGGGCTATCTCCCTTGTTGGCCCCTGGCACCCACTTGGAAGTTGGGAGGACGGTCCTCGGACGGCCGCTCCGAACTCTCCGAGCTCCGGCACCTCTTCGCCGCTGTACCAGCCCCCCGAGCACGAAGGGTCGGTCGCGTTTTTTTTTTTTTTTTTTTTTTTTTTTTTTTTATCTCAAGCTGCTGCTTTAGAGGATCCCGGAATAGTTCAGGCCGTTTTTGGACGTGTCCTTCAAGGAGCTCTCTCTTTCCCCAGTGTTTAGAAAGTGTCGTCCGAGCCGTCGGGCCTGCCACCCGGCGGCCGCGAGCGACAGATCGACAGCTGCTGTTGCTGGCTGTTGCATGGTTCGACTCAACCGCAAGCACAGGCCACCTCAAACAGAAAAGGAATATGAGGGCCCCACCCAGAAAAACAAGGACTATGACAGAACTCCTAAGCAAACAGTGAAACGAAGTCTCATTTTCTTTGCTGTTTCTGTTGCTTCTTCTCAGGGTGGGGGGGTCCTTGCTCACGTTTGAACCTGGGACCCCAGTTTGCGCAAAGCCCAGTGGTAGGAAGGATGTAACCACGGTCCACACATCCAAAGTACCAATCCAAGCCACCAACAACTCACTTCCTGTGTTCCTGGAATGTGTTACTCTTTTTTTGGGGCTGTACTGTTAGGTTGCGAATAATAAATGGGGAGTCAATGCACAAAACAAACACAAAATTATTCACACCCCTGAAAAGCAAAAGGGGGAGTTAATACACAAAAGTTTTTGTGAGGGGCACAAAATCCGGAAAAATGTTCCCCCCAAAAAAGTTTGATAATTAATCCCTAGTTCAGTGCAACTCCTGTCTCTCTCTGCCCCGCCCGCCCCCCCCAACCTACCACCACCACCAACAAGGAGATGATGATTGAAGTCCCTGAAAAGGAAGTTTAACTGAGGTCCCCAACAGCCAAATTCTTTATGACAGCCCTTACTAAAAGTTGCACCCTGCCAAATTTTCAAGGGGGTAGTACAGGGAACACCCAGGAAGCCAATAATGAGATTTGTTTAAGGGGGTTAATTGAGACAAGTTTTTTAGGACTGGGGCCAGGGATGCCTGCAAGGAAAAGGGCTTCCCTTTCCAAAGGACTACTGAGTCTCCCCAGAAAAGGAAGTTTCCTTTCCAAAGAACTACTGAGTCTCCCCAGAAAAGGAAGTTTAACTGAGGCCCCAACAGCCAAATTCTTTATGACAGCCCTTACTAAAAGTTGCACCCTGCCAAATTTTCAAGGGGGTAGTACAGGGAACACCCAGGAAGCCAATAATGAGATTTGTTTAAGGGGAGTTAATTGAGAAAAGTGTTTTAGGACTGGGGCCAGGGAATACTAAACCAATTCTAAACAGTACTAAGCCAGTCAACCAGAATACTAAACCAATACTAAACCAATTCTAAGGAGTACTAAGCCAGTCAACCAGAATACTAAACCAATACTAAACCAATTCTAAGCAGTACTAAGCCAGTCAGCAAGAATACTAAACCAATACTAAACCAATTCTAAGCAGTACTAAGCCAGTCAGCAAGAATACTAAACCAATACTAAACCAATTCTACGCAGTACTAAGCCAGTCAGCAAGAATACTAAACCAATACTAAACCAATACTAACCAATACTTACTGGAATACTACTTAGGGAAGACGCGGTCTGACCCTCATTTTGCTTTTCGGGTTTCCTCTATTGACCCCCCCCATTTTGTTTGAGGGGGGGGGGCCTTTATTCACTCCCCAACATTACCATTTGTAAATAAGAGTTTTTGGGATTTGTTTGGCCCAGCCCAGCCACTCAGGTTCCTCTTTTTTTTTTGGCTTTTAGTGGTAAATAAAAAGGTTGGGAATCTTTTGGGCCATCCACTCGACAAGTTCCAAGCTCCAAGGCCCAGCCGGTCGCCCTCACCACGGCCCGGGGGAAGCCGCGACGCGGCTTCCGACGGGCCGATGCTGGTGGAGTAGGTGGCCGCGTTCCGGATGGCCAAATCGCCACGGAGTCCGTGGATCGGGAAGTTTTGAAGGACATTCCAGCTAGCAAGTCACAGAAATAGGTTGAACCAAACATTGCTTTCTCTTTGTTTCGCATGGGGTTATCCCAGCGGTTCAGTGGCACCTGCCAAGTCCCTGTCTTTTCTAGTGGGTTTGCGGCCAAAAAGTCAGGGCAAGCCCCAAAACTAGGGCTGGGCTGAGTCAAAAGATGACCAAGCCGGGGTGGAAATGTGGTTCTTCCTTTCCAGCACCCTCCAACAACTGCTTTTCTGGAGGGCACTTGGGAATTTGGACGTGGTAAAAGCAGTTGTTGGCATCCGGGTGTTAGCAAAAGACCATTTGTTCTATCCTTGTGCCCTGCCGGAGCCTGAGCGCGAGAAAACATGGCGGCGAGTGCGGAGGGATCTGCACTAATGGTAGTGAATTAGGAGACAACCAGCCCATGGTGAAGGTTTGTTTGATTCTAGCCTCGTGATGTCACTGAATTTAAGTAATTAGCAGATGAATGAGATGATCATTGGATTGGAAGGGATGGACCTGTCTACGCTACTCACGAAGACAAATGTGCGCGCGGTGTGGCCCTTGTGTCTTTCTTCCCTGGTTCTCAGGGCAGGACCGAGACCGGTTTTCAGGAATGAACCGGAAGATCATCTCAAAGGAAACCACAAGGCAGGGCTCGTTCCATATCTCATTCCCTGAGCACCAGCAAGCTTTGCTGCATTTTGCCAGGGGATGTTCGGACTGAACAACTTTTTGCCAACGAATGGGTTTTCCGTATCTTTACCACTAAAAGTTTTCACCTTTTAGCTGAGCAGATTTCGCCACCGAGCCTAGATGGGGTGTGTCCGTGTTTATCCCCGTTCGGGTTCCCCATGCCATGGTCCTTCCGTCGGGCCCCATGGCCCGACAGAAGGGCAACTGGGTCGAGGTGGGCAGCTGAGAGTTGGGAACCTTTTTTTTCCCCCACCGCACTGGGCCCCTTCTGAGTGTCCCAAAATATGGTGGGGCATTCTCAAAATTGCTGGGGTGGGAAGGCCCTGTAGACCGCCATGAGGCTGTTTGAGGATCTCACCGTCATGGACGCAGCCTGGCGTTTTCCATCTCCATTGGGCAAGCCAAGAGGCACCCCGCCCCACCGGGCTATACCTAGACGAAGCCAGCGGCTCGCTTGTGTAACGTGTGGTGTTTTTGGCAGATCTTGAGACCTGTCAGCCCATGGAGTTTCTACTTGTCCTGTCAAAGGGATTTGCGCTGTCCTGTCGTTTCTGAAGTTCATCTCTACATTCCGGGTGCCTCGTTTTGATGGCAGCATTTGAGTTGTTGAAAAACCTGCTGGGCAACGTGTTAATGGCTGTGAGGCGACCAAATTCCTAGTTGATCAGCGCCATCAAGGGAAATTTCGGGCCTCAAGCGAAGCTTCTTCAAAAAGCTGTATATCTGAGGCTACGAGTAGGACCTACCCAGAGGTGCCTGAAAGTCTCCTTTGCAGTGGTCATGACCCAATACTACGTTACATAGGCGACAAGGTCCATTTAACCATCATTTAACCCACCCAAAGTTAGCCGCGGAAAACGGACAGCCAGTGCAAGTTCATTTCGCCTCTCCCTTTGTTGACGTTGATTTCAGATGGATTCTGTGCCTCGCAGCTTGTCTTGGCTCAGCCTGGCACATTTCAAATCCGAAGAGAACGAAGCAATGTGGCGGGTGCTGCTGGCCGCGACGGTTTTGCCGCTGCATGCGGCAACTCGACAAGCCCGTGCTGGCTTACTGGCTTACTCTCTGCTTGAAAACATTCATGGAGCCAACACTAAAGTCGTTGAATTTTAGCTTCTTTTGTCGGATTTTGTTTTAATTCTGAATGTCGTGCATGCGGTCATTTTGCATTCTTGGCAGCGGAAGCTCTACTTCATGGTTCGCTGGTTGTCCACTCAGCAGACCACAAGCTCCACTCAGATGAGACCGAGTTTTCCCATCCCCAACCCCAGCCTTCTGTTTGATCCACCCTCTGGTTTAGTTTTTTGGCCCGGTCAAGGCAGACAGGCTCCAGGTCAAAATTCCGGGCTGTTTGAATATGACCATGTCCATTTCCACCCGAAAGGGTCCCGTTTGCAGAGGTTTGCCAATATTGAATATGTAGGTTTGAACATTCTCTTGCCAAGTAGCACATGGTAGCATGAAAAGCCGCAAAAACCACGGGGGCGAACATGCAAAGCACCGGAGACATCGCTTGAGCCTCAAGGAGTCTTTCCGCCCACAGCCCCTGGGCCCCACCCAAAAAACATGCGCTTCGTGGGAACATGGTCTGGCAATTCGACATATATATCCAACCGGGCAAGCGTAAGGTGATATGACCCGGAAAATGTCAACTACAATTACAGGTGTCCTCTACTCCCGAACAAAAAGAGTACAGTAAGCACAAAACTACCTCCCGCCCCCCCCCCCCCCAAAGCCCCACATCCAGAAACACAAAGACACACCTACCTCCCCCCAGAAAAAAAAAAAAAAAAAAAAAAAAAACACTTAAAAACAAATTAGACAAATTAGACCAATTCCACTTCGGGGACCTTTTGGCTGACGCAGAACTCCGCCGCGAGGTGAAGTTTGGCGCGGACCTCCTGGCCCAGGCGGAGCACGCCCTGGCCTGCGCCACGGGCGAGACAGGCGCCGGCTGCGACGGCGCGCGGCGCGGCCGAAGGGAGATGAAGCACGAGGAACGTGTGGCTGGGGCGCGGAGGGGGGCCCGTTTACTTAGTAGGGTATTACGACGGTTAGGGTACCTGGGCTTGGTTTCCTTGCTGCTGGTTATGACCCGCTAAGTGGGCTGGTGTGTCTCAAAATAGGGGGACGCCCAAGGGAGAAGTGCTCTTTTTGATTTTCCTTTAAATTGTAACCTTAAAAAGCAAAAAACCACTCTCACTGCCTGAGTTCCTGGACTTGAGTCACTTCCCCCCCCTAAGAACATGGGAACTTCCCTTGAACGCCCTCGAAGGGGAGGTGTGTCTCAAAGCAAAGGGCCCCCCAACAATGGCTTCGTGTTGTTTTTTTTTGGGGGGGGGTTCCTTTACTAACTTGAAATTTGTAACCCCCCAACAAAACAATCATGGTTGGTGGGGAAGTCACTGGATCACCCCATATGGGTATGTGTGTGTGTGTCAACATCGGGATACCAGCCCAAGAATCGGCGAAAGTGGGGACACCTCGTGGCACTGATGGATGGTGATTGGAAGGCGCTGTGTAGATCAGCTCATTGGAAGGGGTCCACTCCAAAAGTGGTCTGATTCCCCACAACCAGCTTGGACACCCCCAGCGTAACCAGGGTTTTGAATGAATGCGGGTCAACATAAAACCAAGCCGGGGGATTTGTGGGGGCAAGAATGGGGACCCCCCACGATAGTCAAAGGTCACTGAACAAACCTTCAACTGGTGTTTGGGATGGTGTGCCAAGGGAACCCCAAAAAGAACCAGTATGAATTGAGATTGTCGCAGGACCACCCCAACACATGGCATCTAAGCAAGACTCGGCAAACTTGCTGACCTTGGGATTTCGGGGAAAGGGGTTTGGTGGAGCCCCGAATCCATTAAAGAACTGGAACTGGGTATGAATTCAAGGCGCTTGGGCATCAGAAAAAAGCCAAACTTGCAAGTTGGAATGCTTGCCAGCCTTTGGAGGTCATCACCCTAAAAAGGGAGGCAAAGCAAGGGCAGGGATAGAGGCCACAAAAAAGTGAGTGACTATTGACGACCATTGGGGGCCAAAGGGCGATTAGTATTGAGCACGCTAGCCCTCCCGTGGCGCTCCCCCATTTACAAGACATGGGTTTGAAGGGACATCAAAAGGAGCACTACCACTGATCCCCGTGGGATTCTTTTACACCGAGGCGGTCCGCAAAGCTCCGAAACGTGCTGGCACGCACACAGCCCGACGAGCGCAAGGGATTCCTCTCTTTGCTCAGTGAGCGCACCATGGCGAGCCGTGCATGGCGTTTTTCGCGCTAAGAACGGGGCGCTTCTGACCCCAGATGACCCAAGATGACCCAAGAAAGGTTTGTTCCCCCAGTTTCAAGGGAATGGCCAATCATGGCTGAGTTGTGTGGGCTATTGGACGCTGCCAGGAGGCAAAGCAAAGGAAGCCAGCAACGGGATCTGGAGGAATATTCCCTGAGAATTCCAGCGCAGGAAGAGAAGTGTATATCTTTCGGGATCCCTTTTGGACCTGGGAACTTCGTGACTAGACTATACCGGGAATGCCCTTTGGAGACAGCTACTCAGTTCTTCAGAGTCAGCTTCGAACTTCATCTTTGTTTGGTCAGGTTTTCCGCTAAGCATGGTCCTGCGCAGAAAAGGGTTCGCTTCTTCTACTTCAAGGTCGCTCGTTGCAACTGGGCAAGTACCCTTTTTTGTGGTTGCTTTCCAGGCAAGGCATGTCCCTTTGCGCGCTCTCAAGTGGTTTCAGAATGCTTACTCTAAGCCAAGGCCCTGTGAGTCAAAAGGAAAGGTCCGCACCGGAAATTGGGCTCATGCAAACACACGTTTCTGGAGGCATTTTGCGGTTTCCGGAAAGGAGTTCCAGGCTACGGGTCGGCATGTTTCATGGACACGGTCCTTCATTCAGAAGGATATTAAAAGGTAATTGTTTGCGATGTTTGCGAGAAATCTGCATACAAAGCCCCTTTGAGCTACTAAAATGGGGTCGCGAGGCACTTGAAAACAACATGGACTTTCTTTTTTTTTTCTCCCGCTTTTGGCTTCTTGGCTTCTTGGCTTTTCGGCTTCTTGGCTTCTTGGCTGCCGCCCCCGCCCCCGCCCCCCAACCCCCCCGCTACTTTTTAGATTTTCTACAGAGATTTGATTGCACCCCTATTTGAATCATCACTGCTTCAAACATCATGGGGGGGGGCTGCCGCCACCCCCATCCCCCCCGCTACTGTTTAGACTTTTTGCAGAGATGTAATTGCACCCTATTTCGAATCATCACTTCTGCGAACATCATGGGGGGGCTGCCGCCCCCCCACCCGCTACTTGTTTTCTCAATTTTTATTTTGTTACAGGGATAGAAATGCCCGCCTGTTTGAATAATCATTTGTTCGACCTGTCAACCCGCCAGCTACTTTTTAGATGTTGTTACAAACGATTTGTTGGTGATGCTGGGGATGTTGGTTGGGCATGCGGGGGATGTTGAAAACGATGCTGGGTATGTTGACGGGCTAGTGGAAAATACGTTAATTTCGACAAAATGCGGTAAACTACGATATGTTACTGGTCCGGACGAAGAACAAACAAAGAAAAGAACAAGAACACAAAATACAAAAATCCGCACCCAAATAGGTCGCGAGGCACTTGAAAACAACATTGAGGCACAATGAGAAGAGAGCGATGTGCGTAACTTGCTCGCCCCTGATATCATTGGCCATTCTAGGTGGTTCGGTTACTAGTTGCACAGGTTAACAGTTTTCACGCTTCAGCGGGCGTTATTTTGCTGAACCTAGGGTTTACCGGGGTCATTGGTCATTCCCCTTCCCTGCTGAGAACCAGCAAGTCATACATGTCAACCATACACAAACCGTTTAGAATTAACCGTTTCCCCTGGCTTACTTTATCCATCCATCTCAGACTTTCATTGGGGTGCGTCTTGTTTTGGGACCCGACAAAGAAAAAAGCTCAGGTGATATCCCCAACAGCATGCGTTACTCATTGTTGTGCTCGGGCCCGACCGCAGCCCGGGAAGCAAACCACCAATCCAAGGCACCAATCATAGCGCACCGCAAGTTTTGCTTAGGGCGCCGCTTTACCTGTACACTGCCAGCAGGGCCCGACGGTGCAATCGGTGCCCGACCGGGGCCCGGGACAGCTGTTAAGGTGCAACCGACGGTGCCCGACCAGGGTCCGATCGGGGCCCGACGGCGCAATCGGTGCGGGCAGCAAACCACGGACCCCAGCCCCCAATCATAGCGCTTTTGCTTAGGATGACGGACGACGACGCAAGCAGCGCAGAGCCCGGTGAAAATGAAGCGTGTTGCAGCTGTGTCTGCGCATGTGTGCGTGTGCGCGCGTGGCCAGGAAAACAACTTGCGAGGGGAGTGTTTCTTCAGGGATATTGTTGGTGTGTTGTTTCAGCCCACCCAAGATGTGCCCGACCAGGGCCCGAAGGTGTGAGCGGGCCCCGATCGGGGCCCGAAGGCGCAATCGCGCCCCGATCGGGGCTCGACGGTGCAACCGGTGCCCGACGGGGAGCAAACCGCCAATCCAAGCCACCAATCATAGCGCGCCGCCGGTTTTGCTTAGGATGCCGCTTCACCTGTACAAAGGTACAGCCGACGTGCCTGACCGGTGCCTGATTGGGCAACTCGCGCAATCGGGCCCCAACCTTGGCTCGTGCAACCTTACCTCAGCGGGGGCTGAGACCCCAAAGCTTTCAGCTGTTGGGGAAGAACAAGTAAATGGTGGTTTTCCTTTTGGTGCCTATGGAAACGAACCTCAAAAAAAGGGTGGCCTCAAACAAAGAGACACCCCCTCGATGACGCCCAGGCAAGAAGAACCCCTCCATCGCAGTGGTGTCGGTCTGCTACCCGGACAATGTCCCGTACGCGCAGAACCCCACTGGGGGCAACCCTCCAGGACCCTGGCAACAAGTCTGCAACGCCGCGAGGAAGAACTTCGAAGCCTACTGCAATCGGCACGGATACAGGCCAGGTAGAGGGGCCACGGGCCACTTCTTCGTTGAGCTTTTCTCCAATTGGTTTTGTGTGGTTTGTTGCTGTGGTTGGGAGTGTTTGGCTTGTGCTTCTTGTTTGTTGCATGTTGCTTGTGATGTGCGGGCCGTTCCTTCTTTGTTCTGACGAAGGGGGGCTGGGGTGCGTGCCATGGCGTATGAAGTACCGTGAAAGTTGCTTCTGTTGAGTTTAGTATGGATATTGTGAAAATGCACAAAGCCATGGCAAACGATAGGGGGCTCTCAAAAGAACGACACGCCTGGAAAACGATGGAAACGCTGGAAAACGATAGGGGACTCTCAAACTAAGTAGCGAAACGGCCGTACGTAAGTAATTTTGACTGTGCCTCATATGGCTTTGCACCAGATCCCCAGGACTAAATGTGAAACCTGAGGGGCCGCTTGCTTATTATGCATTGTCTCACTTCCCGAATTCCTGGACTCTTAGTCACTTTTCTGGAAAGAAGACAATATTACGCGCTAGTAAAGAGTTTGAACTTTTTGTGGGCCCATCCACTCGGGAGGTGAGGTGTGTATGCTTTTCTTGTTTTTTTTCCGGGCCTCTCGTGGTACCTGGTGGGGGGGCTGCAGCAGCAAGCGTGCCACGTCATGCAGCTTCAGTAAACACCACAAGCAAAAGCAAACCAATCAACCAAGCAAACAACAAATTAATCAACCAATCAATCAAACAAACAAACAATCAAACAACAACTCAATCAAACAAATCAAGCAAACAGATCAAACAAACAAACAAACAAACAATGAAACAAACACACAAACAAACAAACAAACAAACAAACAAACAAAGAAACAAAGAAACAAAGAATCAAAGAAACAAACAAACAAATAAACAAACAAACAAAAACAAACAACAAACCAAGCAAACAATTGAACAAACAATCAACAACTCAAACAGACAAATCAAGCAAACAAATCAACAAACAAACAAACAACAACAACTCAGTCAATCAATCAATCAATCAATCAATCAATCAATCAATCAATCAGTCAATCAGTCAATCAGTCAATCAGTCAATCAGTCAATCAGTCAATCAGTCAATCAGTCAATCAGTCAATCAGTCAATCAGTCAATCCATCCATCCATCCATCCATCAATCAAGCAATCAAGCAATCAAGCAATCAAGCAAACAAGCAAACAAGCAAACAAACAAACAACAGTTCAAACAAACAATCAAACCAAAAGGAACACCCAAATAAAACACACAAAGGAAGGGCTTCCACAGGAAGGGAAGGGAAGGAAGCCGAGTGTCTGTCGCTGCCGTTGCTCGGAGGCTTTTCTTCGTGGACCAGGCGCCTGCTGGGGGCGCTGGCCGGCCAGCCACCTGGGCCAAGGTGCTGGGCATCCAGCAAGCCTTCCGAGCCCCCGGGGTGGAGGCAGGTGGAATTGGCGAATGAAATGGGTGGTGCTCGTCGTTGTTTTTGGTTGGTAGGGCCGATTTTTTGTTTTGTGTTTTTTTTATTTGTTTGGGGGGGTTGTTTCTTTTTGATTTGGGTGGTGTTGAAGGGAAGGAAAAGAGGAACAAACACATGTTCGGGCATGTCCACAACCAAATTGCTCGCATAAAGGTGTCCTTTTCGGTTTGCTTAGAAAAACGAAGGCGGTTCCTGGTTTACTTGATGGTTCAACCATCTACCAGGGCCATCTGTTTATCCAAAAGAACACCTATGGTGGCTCGTTTTCGCTCGTCGTTTTTGGGTAGACACGGAATTTGTTTGGCGGTTTTAAGAAGGGAAGCCAAAGGGGAACAAAGACAAGTTTGGGGGGTAAACGCATTTGCACATTCGATTTTGGGCTTGCTGCAAAATGGGCCTTTTGACCCACAGAATCGCAAGGGTACTCTCAATGATGCGCCTAAATGGGTCTGTGCTTTTTTGAGCATACCCTTTCTGGGGTTGGCTTAGAGCAACGCCAAATGGAAAACACAAGTTTCGGGTCCAGCGAGGAAAAATGAAGGGGCCAAACACAGGTTTTTGGGGTCCCAAGGGCCGTCACACTCCAGGCAAACCGCAATGAACCTCGCACTTGCCCAAAGCCGACCATTGGATCTTTCTAGTGCGTGCTTATTTTCCTCTACCATTGTTGTGTGTCAATTTCTGTCACGTTTCGTCATGTCCAGTTTAGTTCCTTTCCAAGCACGAACCTAGATGCTCACTCATGTTCCGTCTTTTTGGCTTTTCCTTGGTCAACTCTCAGCGTTCTAACCACCAGGCCGTGTTTACAATGGACGGAGATTCGCTGTTCATGAACTTCGAGAAGGACCTGGAGAGCTTGTTGCCCAAAGGCGGCAAGCAGGCGGGCTTATCAGGGCTCCTTAAAAAATACATTTTGCAACCATTCGAACCATGTGGCTTTTTCAACCTCAAAATAAAGGGAAACCCACCATTTACAAGGCAATGTTCGGGTGCATAATGCATCCGGATCCCTGCTTATGGAGTCCCCTTTCAGCGAAAACTAAAAACACAACAGAACGGCCGCTTCAGTGCTTTGGTTCCGAAGGGCCATGGCCCGCGCTGGCCGGGGATCGAAAAAACCTGCGCTCAGTGGAGATGTATCGCATCTGAGACTATGAGCGAAGGTGTGAGCGTAGCACAGATGTCAAGGCGCTGCAGAGCCAGGCAAGCAGCGAGTTGTGCGCAATTGAGGTTTGTTTCCGCTCGGCATGGGGTGGAGCAAAGGTGAAAACTCTTGTGCTGCAGCTGCAGTCTCAGAGCATTGGTAGATGCGTTCCCTTCGGGATCAGTGACCATTGGTTTTGTTGTTTAACCGCTCTATCAGAGGTTAATGGGTTGGAATGCCCAAATTGAAGCCTCACACGTGGCTTTCAGGTGCAGAGGCTAACCCCCCAAGCTGTCTTGCATGACAGGGCGCCCCGCCAGGCGTGGAATTCTGGATGGAGAACAACTCGGGTTTTAGAATGTGTTTTTTCTCCTTTTTTGTGGATTGGGGATGGGACGCATGCCTGTACCTGGGGATGTGTGCTGCTTCTTCAGCAAAAGCAGCAAGCTCAAGCAGTTGGAAGATCATGCTGACAGCGGATTAGTTAACCTGGCAGATCCGTTTGGTGGGTGTAGCTCACTCAAATCCGGACCCCCTCTAAAACGGGTCCCACCCCCAACAGTCGACTAACCAGGGCTTAAGAAAAAGCTTCCCAACGTCAGTTGACGATCTCCGGCGATATGAACTGCTTTCTGAACGCCGGGCACATGATGTTCAAGAAGAGCGAGTGGATGGCCAGGTTTCTGGATGAGCCTCGGGTCGCCGATGTTACCTCCCGCCACTTAACTTGGAACCTGACAGGGGTCCCTTAAAAAGAACATTGTCTTCCAGGACCTGCTGGCAAGTTGCAGTTGTTATTGGAGGGAGGGTAAATTGGGGCCCCTCAACCTTTTCTGTCTCCTTGGGTGGGCTTTTCAACTTCTCTCCTTGGGTGGGGTTTGTCCCTAACGACCAAGCAAATGCTTGTTTTGTCCGTTTTGGGGAATCCTGGGCATCAGCTATCAAGAACAGGGTGCGTTTTGTGTCACGCGGACAAATGTACTACCCAGAGGCTTCTGAACCTTTCAATGGAAGACCCAGACCCTCCACCCCGGGGTGTTTGGTCTCAAAACCTGGCTTTTTGAGGGCCCTAAATCAATCGAAAGCCTCTAGGCGGGCATTCGCGAGCTGTGATCTTATCAAGCAGTCCACTCGTGGATGTGCACACGGTAGAAGCTTCCGACTCACAAACCGCATTCCCATATGGGTGTGTCGTTCTTTTTGCGGTGTTGAAAGGGAGCCCATTTGTTTCAAGACAAAAGTGATCAGTAGAAGCATCCAGAAACACATCGACGAGCCACCGATATGCCTTAGGGGATGCTTCCGAATCGCCCGGCCGTCGTTCGAATAGTCAGTTTCCCCTCAGTTGGTGGTTTGGGATTTGAAGCCTTGGCTTTTGTCGAGGGTAAATGGGTTTTGTTTCCCTCCATTTCACCACCAAACCGCCGATTCAGCTGAAAAACCCACCCAGCGGGGAGCTGATTAGGAGACTTGGAGCATTTGGCCAGCGCCGTCCCCTTGGGACGAGCAGTCCGCCTGGATCTATCAGCTTTCAGGCGCTTTCGAAGCGCGGGCGCTTGGGGCTTGAGCTTTCCGAATCAAACCCGCAATTGGGGGGGTGGCGATGAAACCTTGAAGACAGAAAGGGGGTGGGGTTGTTTTGGTTTATATAGTCTTTTTGTTGTTGCCAGCGGGTGTGTGTTTGGATTTGTTTTTCAAGAAGAAAGGCTCAAGACCCAACTAAAAGAATGGCACCTCACCACAGTTTCCTTTTCTTGATTGCTATTGGGTTGGATCTTTAGGCTTCATCTGTTTGGGAAATCAAGGGGTTTCCATTGACCCACAAACAGTTTTTTCTCACTTTTTACAGGGGGCTCAACAGCGGCCAAGTTTTCAAGTACCCCTGCTTGGAAAAGCGACCAAGTCCAAGGTCCAAAGCTGACAGGATTTTTCTGGCGCGTGTTGTACCTGAGCCGTGCCCGGCCCAGCCCGACTCTTTTCCTGGGTAGAAGCCCACTTCCAGGAGCAAGGCTTCTACTCGTTTTTCCTGGTGTTTGGACGTGATTCGGATTTTGCGGTTTCAGTGGCCAAGGTTTCGCCTTTGGGCAAGTTCACGGAGAGGTGATGCTGGGGCAAAGCATTCAGCTGAGTTTCCAAAAGAGACACCGTCCCGCTGCAGTTAGGGAGGTTCCATTGGTCCATGGAAGCGGATGTGGTTCCGTGAATCAATGTGCCATTTCAGTATGCATGCCTACTCGGTTGAATAGGGTCTGTAGTCCCTATACTCACTTCCTGAGTTCCTGGACTCTACGCTTGTGGCTGGACCATCTTAGTGGTAAATGAACAGCTTGGGTCCGTTTTCTTCTTCACTTCCACTCAAGTGTATGAACCTTACTACCCATGTTTCTAAGGGTTGCCCCATTCTTTCCAACCATCGTTCTTTTCGAAGACTTGCCGTTTTTCTGGGTGTCCAAAGGTTTTCCAGCAAGCAGGATCCCTGGAAAGAATGGGGAAGCAACCCTTCGAGCCATTGAAAACACAAAAAGTTTCAGTAAGATCCAACCTGCTGGGAAGGTAGCACTAGAATGTTGCTAGAACCCATGGGTTTCGGTCGCTCAAAGTGAAACATGCCTCGAGCGCGTCCTGCGTCCCCTGTCCCGCGTCCCGCGCCTCGCGCCTTGCGGCCGAGACCTGCCGGCGCCGCAGCGGGCGCAGTGCCGCCAGCACTCGGAGCCCTGCTGCGCGGGGCCGGTCATCGAGAAGGCGGACCGCAGGAACCAGGCGGAGATGAACGCGCCGCGCAGCCGCAAAAAAGAAGAAGAAGGGAACGGGACACCTTACCTAGGTGCTCCAGTAGAGAGGTTAGAATCAGGGTACCTTTTTTGTTTCCTGTACTCTATTTTAGTAGGGGCACCCCAAAACAAGGGTAAAAGGGCACTACCGCAAAACCTAGTCACTCCCTGCGGTTCCTGGACTTGAGTCACTTTTTGGGGCTGTACCATGTTGGTGGTAAGTAAAACGTTTCCAGGGCGGTTTTTTGGCCAGTCCACTCAGAAAGTGAGACACCGGCCAGTGTCAACCCCCCCCCCCCGTCCCCAGTGGTAGCTTAATGGCAAACAACTTCCCAGCGACACCCAGTTACCTACAACCAAAAACCCGGTGGATGACGGTTACGCGAGAGTCCCAACCAGATCATGACTCATGGCTAACCATATGGTGTTTTGGAGTTGTTGTTTTTTGCAGTTTGGGGTTATATGACATATTGCAACAACAGTTTGGCTTTTAGAAAGGGACCAGGGAACCACGGAGAATAGTTGCCCGTTGTGCTGATTCAAGCATCACCTTTCGGACCGTCGGTTAAGTTTTCGGGTGGGGTGACGTTTCCTGGGAAGCAATGCCACGGACCCCGGACGTCCAAATGCTGCGGTGAAATGTCATTTCCCCTGGGTAGGGTGATGTTTAAAGGCGAGCTGTGATCAAGTCTTGGCCACGGGTCCTGTGGCATTTTGCAAGTCAAAGGACTACCATGGTAGATTTGTCCTTGCAAAATCCGTGGAAGTGGAAATAACAAAGAGAGTGGGGGGATTCCTGCGGCAAAGTCGAGCAACTTGGTAGCCTGTTTAGACCTAGTCGCCGATGATTAGCGGATTGCGGATTGTGCGGTGTGCGGAGTTGTTTTTTGCGGTTTGCGAATTACAGATTGTGGGCTGCATAGTTTGTCCATGTTCCACGAATTCACAGCATATCAAGGATGAAGAAGTTTGCCAACCAGAACGCGGATGAAGCGGATTCCCGATTGTGATTCGGCCCCATGGAATTTCGATCAGGGCTTGAAGTGAGCGGCGACTGTTGCAAACCTACTGCGCAGGTACGGTCAAGGAACAACGCTCATATCATCCCATATCCCTTGGTGGCTCCCAGCCCTTGGCTTTTTAGCTTTGTAGTGCTTCGTGGGGATCTCCATTCAACCCTCTAAAAGTTAATCTTTTAGCAGGGGATCTGAGGACAGCCCATATCCATGAACCATGGGCAATCAGCATGCTAAGCAAGCGCAGGGTTCTCATGTTCTGCTGGACTGGCCATGCCAGACGCAGGGCCAGCTGAGCCATGAGGGCAGCGAAGGACGAAGGGATGGATATGACCAGTTTGACTTGTCTTAAACCTCCAGTCTCCACTCGTTCTAGTATGGCCCTAGAAGCCTAAGACGTATATATCCACACCCGGGTAGATGAAGGTTAGTAAGGGCCAATCCCAACCATAAATAGCTGTGGATATCCGCCTGCTTAATTCTTTACATGGTTCTGGGGATCGACCATTTAGTACCGGGTTTTCATTCTGACTCAGATGAGTCTCACTGTATTTTTGGTTAGGGCGCAGGCATCGGCGCCCCTGCCGGCCGATTCCTGCCATTCAGAGCTCTCGTTCTCGGTATGTTCTCAGTGATGGTTCCAAGTTTCATTTGGCTGCGTGTTCTTAGGTGCATTTTTCACCTTGGCAAAACCCAAGAAAAGGAAGCCACAGACGCAAAAATGTGGCTTCATTCTTGATAGATGATGAGATACCCTTTTGGTGCCTGACTTCTTTGCTTGCCGAGTTTTCAGGGAAGGGCCGGGCTGATCTCAGGTTCTACGAGCAGTTCAAGCCAGGCGACTTCATTGTGCACTTTGTGTCCAGGGCCGCGCAGGCCAGACAACCTTTGGGGACCCCCCGCAAACATTCCCAACATACCTGAGAAAGACTAGAATACACTGCCTGACGGGGCCTCCAAGAGGAAACCGATGCTCCAGGTAACCTCCCTCACATGCCATGTTAGTGGGAGGAAGGGTAACTAGAACGATAATCCTAAGAAAGTAATGTGCATAATAGTTTGGACCCATAGTATGACCCGCCGCTAGTTGCTTGGTGAAAGAACCATGGAATATGGCCTTAGTATGGGACACCAGTGACCAAAGGGATCAACATGGCCATGAGTCCAACATACGGACGTATACAACCGCCCTGTGATGCGCAACTTATATCGGGCTCACGTAGGGATAACACGAGCTCACCGCATAAAAGTCATTGTCCTGGCTGCCTGATTGCGAACGGCACTCACTCCCCTAGATTGGCCACAAAAAGTCCAAACTTGTTATTTTACTTCTAACATGGGCTAAACAGTTTAAAGTCCAGGAACTCAGTGAGCGAGTATAGTAGCTTGCCGAGAACGACGGTGTTAATGCATCTACCTCATCTACTCCCAATCTGCGGATTTGAGGTTTGCCCTGGTCGATTCGCATCGTGGCCCTAGGTCCATGAGCACGATGATCCTAAACCTTACGCATGTACCTGCGCGAGCCACATTTCACCGACTTGAACTGAGGGATCTGCTAGTAAACCCGCAAGGTGCTCGCACTCATTTTTCCTGCAATGTACGAGCCCATGAACCCAATCAACCCCCGCATATTCATGCTTCAGGGTCGCCTAGGTTTCCCCTTACATCACCCCACCAAAAGGAATCTCACTTTTTTCCATGGCCCTAAAGGCGATGTTCTACTCATCCAACAACAAATAAGATGGGGCTTCATGAATTGTGTGTGCGCGTGGCTTGATAAGAGGTAAGCCGGAAAGTGCGGTAAGTGGGAAAGGTTAGGTCCACATAGGTGCGCTAAATTGGAAATGGCCAGGGGGAACCGACAAAAAATACAAAAGATGACTGCGGAATCCTTTTCGTGGCATGATTGCATGCGCGGGCATCAGTGCCTGAACATCATAGTAAACATCACCATTCGCCATATGGGTGTGGCTCGAAAATAAAGACCCAGCATTATGCAGGTGTTAGTCTACTTTTGCATTTGCCAGGGTTCCATTTTGGGCCCCTTTTTGGGTCAACATGATATTTCAATCAGCCTTGAGGTTACCTGGAACCTCAGTTTCCTTTTGGAGTCCCGTCAGGTGCTAGTGGGAGTGTTCTAACTGAAAGTTGATTTCAACAAGTAGTTGCTTCTTTTTATTTTCCAGACAGCTGGAAGCTATAGGGCTTCTAACTTCTAATAAAGCGGGGAAAGTGATTTGCGAGATTTTGACGGCTGGGGGAGAGAGTCATGGGGGCTGGGGGGAGGGAGGGGAGGGAGAGGGAGCACAAGTAAATTAAGCCCTTATAAGGCCTTATTTCGGAAATATTTGGGTTCCCTCCCTCCCCCCCCCTCCCTCCCCCAACCCCCCAGGCGAGAGGTGTGTCCTGGCGCCTCAGGAGAAGGCCAACCTCATGACGGAGTACGGGAAGCGCGCCTTGGGCCTGGTCACCATGCAGCAGCTCCTGGAGTTCCACACCCACCTCACCTCCTGAAACGTGAGCGAGCCACCTGGCTGCGATGTGTATTTTATTTGCTTGTGTTTCTTGTTTTTTACGTGTTTTTTTCTGGGTTTTGCCATTTTTTTTGTTTTCCTGTTTTCGTGTTTGTTCATGTTTTTGTTTCTTCGCTTTGTCTCGTTTGTTGAGGTGTCCAACGATAACCGTTTGTTTGCTGGGCCTTTTGAGACCTGACAGGTGTTCCCTTTGGCTTTACCAGGAGAGGAATCTCCTTTGAGGGGACCTCTTTGGTTTGTGACATGTTAATTTGCGGGGCACTCTTTTGCCAGGATTGGTAGTTACCATCTTTCAGAGGGTTGGGTTACAAGAAAGTCTACGGGGAAACAGCTTATTGTTTTGGGGCCATATTTCCTGTAGATTGTCCTGTATCCAAACCCTTTTAAGTTATGGCTCCAAAAGGTGATCACCTTGTATTTCTGGTTCCTAAAAGGCAAGTAAGGGGTGAAGACCCCGCAAAACCTAAACACGCGGTGCCGAAATGGTTGCTTTCTTTTCGGAGATTTCCCTTAAACATCAACCAAAATGGGGCTCTGGCACTTCCGAGCCATCACGGAAAGCCCCAGAAGTTCTCCGTTAGCTCAAGTAGCGCTCGGGGGACATAGCCGCATAGCCACACAAACGTCACAGATCCATACTGCCTAAGAAACCATGAGAGTGAAACCGCTGTTTGTTGGTATTTCCAGGGGGATCGAATCATTTCAGGGATTCTCTGGTGGTGCGAAATTGATTTCGTCCATCCACAGTATGTCACCCTTCGAACTTTGCAGCATTCTGAGAAGGCTAATGGTTTAGACAGGGGTGGTTTGCCAGAGCTTTTCAAGCATCACGATTCTCGGTGTCTCAGTTTTGCATATATTTTTTCTTCGCGGTGTTTTGCATTGGGATGTCAATTTGTCTCTTTTTGCGTGCCTCATGTTCATAGCCTTAAAATGGAATTATTCTCAGTTGGGCATCCCTAGGCAAACATATAATTGAAGGATAAACAGGCTCCGTGTGTTCCAAGGTTGCATTCGCAGAAGAAAAGGAGGCCTTCAATTTGGAAGATGGCCGGGCGATACAGTGCTCGAGTGACGTTCAGTCGCACTCTTCTCCCTTTCTTGCGTGGTGGGTTGACTAAGAAAAGCCAGCTTCATGATAGAACTTGCTGGTGCTCAGTAGGGAATGACTCAGGGTTTTGGGAATGAACCTAGAATTTCCCTGCAAGGAAGGCATAGGCGATGGGTGAGGGGTTATTCCCTCATTCCCTGCTAAGCACCAGCAAGAAAATCTGCCTCGCCTTTACCAGCGGCACTGCTTGCCCGCAACTGGTGTAGCCGATCTCGTGCACCACCGCACCGAGGCGATACGCCATACGCAGCGACGGGGGATGGCTATGCAGAAAAAAGAAGACTTTGTTTGCCAAGGGATGTTAGGACTTCAACTTTTTGCCAAGGGGTTTTCCATTAAACCACTAAACGTTTGCATCAGTGCATGTACAGACACACTGACTTGCTTGTTTTTGGGGCCTTCTCCTCCTTTCCCCTTCCCCCCCAATACATCGCTGGGTCGAACGGACACTGTGCGCTATCGCAAAGGCAACAAAATGCACTAATAGTTAAACTGTTAGCAGGGGATCAGATTTCGCGACCGAGAAGAGCTGCGTTCTCCCGCTCGGGAAGCGTATCGCCGTAACATCAGGGAAATCCATGCGTGTTGGGTACAGGAAATCATGGAGGGCGAGAGGTAACTAGCATGTTTAAGTTAGTTAGGGGTGGTGATTTGCGAATCACGAGTTTTGATTGTCCACATTTTGTCCACAGTTGGGACGATGACGAGCGTTACCCCACTGACTAGCTCTTTGAGCCCAACCCAGCGAGTTTTGAAGCATGACACCGGCACCGCTGGTTGAAGCGAGTGGGAATCAACCCCTGGCGGCGCTTGTTGCTGCTTCACTTCACTTTGGGGACCTGCCTTTTCATGGACATGGGGTGGATGGCAGTGCTTGGAGGGGCAGGGGTGAAACTGAAATCTGCCATTGCTTCACCAAAGCTGAAGCAAGCTGTTTGCAGTTGTCTTTGGGTGCTGAGTAGCCCATGTTGAGAGCCTCAAAATGAAGCCCACTGGTGAATGGTTGATGCATTTTTCTAGACCCGCTGTGTAACCTCCATTTCACGTGTTTTGTCACTGTGTGTTCAAAACAAGGTCCGGCATGCTTTATTTTGCGCGTGGTTTTAGCCACCTTTCATACTGATTTGCGATGAGCTTCTCTTGGTAGGTGTTTAAGGGAAGTGCAACTCGCCGTAGTTCTCCAGCTATGTTTTCCTGGCAACTGACTGCCACTTGCCCGGGAATAAATCTCAACTACCGGAGATACGATGACTAGAACAGGGTCGGTCCTTCTGATGGATTGTAGTTTGCTTCTCATGTCCATTCACCAGGGCCCCGGGCACCCCATTTTTTCCCACCGGTCCATGATTCCAACCGCTTCCAGGCCCCCAGTTTAGCCCCCCAGCGACCTCCGATTTGCCTCCGATCGGGGAACGGGGGGCGCTTCCAGGCGCAGCGGCTCAGCCGCTGGCTGCGGAAGATGCCCGGGACACCCAGAAGCCGAGCCAAAGGCCTCCCTTCCAGGGGAAGAAGAGGCGGCCAGTGGTCACATGTTGCTTGTCTCAAATGGGCCGTGGAATTTGTATCCTAGCAATATTGGCCGGGGGCCTCCCATGGTTCTTAATGCCAGCAGTACAGAGTCCTACCTCAGTGCATCCGGTCACCGTCAATGGTTGAGCACAGTTCACAGTTTGGATCGTGGGGGGAAACGTCCGGTGTTCACCGTGCCAAAGAGTCATGTGTTGCTTGGCTGTTTTTGGCCGTGGAAGTTGGATGCAATGGCTGTTCATTGGTTCCAAAGCTCCTAGCAATATTGGCCGGGGGAACATCACCTCTGGAAAAGCCGTGAAGCGGCTTAGGTTGGTGTGATCCATACGCGTTGCCCAGTTTACCCGGTTTGGTAAATAGATGGCACTGGCTTTAGCCTTTTTATAGTGAGGGGGGTCGACATCCCAACAGCCAATGCTTGGCACATGATCGTCAAAGGGACGGTGGATGGGTTTGTGCCAGGGTTCGTTTCATGGTTTTCCTGTAACTTTTACCCCTCGGGGAAGGGCTGCTGAGTTGAAGGGAGTGTGTCCAAAGGTAAGACGTCTCTGACGAAAAACTGGGGTGACTCGACAAGCGTTGTTTGTGGACGTCTCTCTTTGCATCCATGGCTTACTTGGCAACATGTGCCAAAAAAGCTCTGCAAACTGGGCAAGCCAGGCGGTCCCCCCGCAAAAGCAACCAAGTGTGGTATGTTTTTGCTTTCCTTCTTAAAACGAAAGTAACTCGACTAGACCACGTTTTGTTCCCAAAACCCGCAGACAGGCCAGGTTTTTCCCAAAACCCACAAGGCGCTGCTGGCCTTTCGGATTCGGGCGCTGGGTTCGGTAAAGGCCGGACACCCATCGCGGCTGGATCGTGGTGGCCGATGAGGCGCGGGAGGGGCAAGACGAAGAGTATGGGGGGGGGGGGGGCTTGTTTGGCGGAAAGATCACACCAGGTATTTATTCATTGATTGTTCATTATTATTATAACAAAATATATTATTTATTTATTCGTTTATTTATTGCCTCTTCTTTTTGCAGGGGGGGGTACACCTGTTTGTGTTCCTGTCTTCTTTTCGCGGCCCTACCTATCACACCAGCAAATCAATTGAGGGGGATCTATCTTGGTGGCTCCCATCCGGTCTAAAGGCTAGTTTTAGCCTTTTTGAGTGGTTGGATGTCCATGCAACCGACTAAACAGGCTTGTCGTTGGGACACATCTTACATCTTTGCTTTTGGTTTAGTGGTTGAAATCCAACCACTTACCTGCTAAGATTTAGTTTTTTGTTGCTCCCCTTCCAGCGTCCAACGAGCCTCGAGGCCCTGGCAGTGTGGCAGCAGCGCTTCGTGGCGGGCGGCGGGGGCTCCAGCCGAGTCTATGCCGATTCGATTCGTCCTCCCAGAGGCCAAATCAAGCGACCATGGGACTGCCCAAAAAAACTCAATCAACCCGAAAAGCTGAAGCATGCACCTTTTTTTTTCCCTATGGTCGCTGGGGGTCTGAGATGAGAATCCTTTTTTGGGCTCTGCTGATCCTTCTCTCAGTTCTTCAGCGGCACCAATCTCTTTTCCCTTTTTTTTTGGGTGGCTGCCCCACTAAAAATGGTCTTCCCCAAAAAGGGTTCCTTTGTTTCTCCAGGGTCACTGAACAACTGAGCTGCTAATGGATAACGGATCTTTAGACTTTAACTTTTTGGTTGATATCAAGTTGGGTTTTGCACTAAACCCGCAAGAAGTTAAGCTTTTTGCAGAGGGATCAACAGCAACCAAGACAGTTGGATGTGGATGTTTCCGTGGGCCCGGAAAAGGCGAGAGGGAGGGCAATCTGTGGTTTTTGCGGTTCTTGGGATCCGCTTCCTTTCCGTGTTTTGCGCGCGGCGCCCTTGCTGCCCTTGCACGAGGCATTGCAACCATGGCGGGGAGTTGGACGACGTTTTTCCTTTTGGAGAGCCCTTTGTCAACACAATCGTTGGATAGAGGCTGCTTAGCATCAGGCGCCATTGTTAATGGTCCCTTCGTGGGTTGGTGCATGGGCCATGTTTGAACAGCTTCCCCTGTCGACCCAAGGGGACGCATGAGCAACTGGCAAAGCAGCTGCTGGTGGTGCTTGGTAGTTTCGCGAGGGCAGCCCAAATCTCATCAACAAGAACCAGCCGTCTCATTAGCCCACGCCCTCTCTTCTTGCGCAAGCCTTTGAATTCACCTCATGTCCACGGACATTACCTCACAGGAATCAACGCCCGCCCAGCCAGCCACCCTGCCACACGCACTGACTTAACGAGCACGGCAGGCAAACTTCCACAGAAACTCCTGTATGGCAGGCACCTATTAGGTCGGAACGTTGTCTAATTGGTGTCA